ATTACGTTTCAATATTTAATATTCTTTATTTCCGTCTAGCCAAGCTTTATTGAGCAGATAGCTTTACTGATATTTTCAACAAAACAACACAAATTATAGTCAATAATTTCCACTTAAATTAGTGCAGCTTTTGGAGTAGGAAAGTGCCAAGCCAACTGAACCCCAATGATGCAATGGTTCTCTTTTATGTTCTATTATATGACCTTCCACCACTACTCCCCGGGTTTGGGGGGGGGTCTAGATCTTGACCTTAATTAGCCTGGTCTATGATTCAGTTCTGCACTATTTAAGCAGATATGTCGACATCATCCACCTTGACTTGGGCTATAAAGTTTTAGCTTGACATTTAATCTATACTATGTAATCTAATTAATTAGATTTGTCCTTAATTAGTACGAACTTCTTGCCTAACAGTGAGAAATTACTGAATTTCAGACAAAATTAATTATTCACACACACACACACACACACACACACACACACACACACACACACACACACACACACACACACACACACACACACACACTAGGGAAAAGAAGATACTAGGGAAAGAGGAGGGGATACGCCCAGCCTATTAGATCTCATTATCACTCAGAATGTAGAAGACATCGAGCAGTTGGAACATGAAATACCACTAGGAGCTATTGACCATTGTGTCCTAGTCTTTGACTACATGATGGAGCTTAAAATTGTGACCAAAGGACAAGAGGTCCGGGAAAGGAGACTTGATTACAGAAAAGGGGACTACAGAAGGATAAGGGACTACCTGGGAGAAGTGCAGTGGGAGGAAGAACTTAGAGGAAAAACAGTGCAAGGTATGATGAACCAAGTCATATTGAAATGCAAGGAGGCTGAAGATAGATTTATTCCAACAATAAAGGAAAAAAGCAGGAGGGAATATAATAACCCATGGTTTAATAGACAGTGTCAGGAAGCAAAGGTGAGAAGCAGGAGGGAGTGGAGGAAGTACAGAAGACAAAGGACAGAGGACAACAGGATTAGATGTAACAGAGCTAGGAATGATTACATTAACATAAGACGAGTGTCGGAAAGAAATTATGAGAACGATATTGCAGTCAAAGCGAAAAAGCAACCAAAATTACTACATAGCCATATAAGAAGGAAGATGTCGGTAAATGACCAAGCGACAAGACTGAGGAAAACAGAAGGGGCATATACAGAAAGCGACAAGGAAATCTGCGAGGTACTGAATGCAAAATTCCATGGAGTGTTCACAACCGAGCCTGAGCAGCTCCCATTGTTAGAAGAGATTACCCAAGATGAAAGACTATCGGATATAGAGGTGACAGCAGAGGATGTAATGAAACAGTTGACAACACTGGATGCAAATAAAGCTGTTGGACCAGACAAAGTATCACCGTGGATACTCAAAGAGGCAGCGCAGGCTCTCAGCGTGCCTCTGGCAATGATCTTTAATGAGTCACTTATGTCGGGAGAATTGCCCAGTTGCTGGAAGGAGGCAAATGTCGTACCGATTTTCAAAAAGGGTGATAGGGAGGAGGCACTTAACTACAGACCCGTATCACTGACAAGCATCCCCTGCAAAATACTTGAAAGAATAATTAGGCTAAGACTTGTTGAGCACCTGGAGAGCATTGGGTTTGTAAACAAGCACCAACATGGGTTCTGGACAGGGAAATCATGCCTAACAAACCTTTTAGAATTCTATGATAAAGTAACAAGGATAAGGCAGGACAGAGAAGGCTGGGCAGACTGCATATTTCTTGACTGCCAAAAGGCCTTTGATACGGTACCGCACATGAGACTGCTATACAAACTTGAGAGGCAGGCAGGAGTAAGCGGAAAGGCCCTAGTATGGGTGAAGAACTACCTAACAGGAAGGAGCCAGAGGGTAATGGTAAGGGGCGAAAAGTCGGACTGGCGAACAGTAACAAGTGGAGTACCTCAAGGATCGGTGCTGGGACCAATCCTCTTTCTAATTTACGTAAATGATATGTTTACAGGAGTGGAATCATACATGTCAATGTTTGCAGATGACGCAAAATTAATGAGAAGAGTTGTGACAGACGAGGATTGTAGGATCCTCCAAGAGGACTTAAACAGGCTGCAGAGATGGTCAGGGAAATGGCTACTGGAGTTTAACACCAGTAAATGTAAAGTTATGGAAATGGGATCAGGTGACAGGAGACCAAAGGGACAGTACACAATGAAGGGGAACAGCCTACCTGTAACGATTCGAGAAAGAGACCTGGGAGTGGATGTGACACCTAATCTAACTCCTGAGGCACATATAAATAGGATAACGACAGCAGCGTACTCTACACTGGCGAAAATTAGAACTTCATTCAGAAACCTAAATGAGGAAGCTTTTAGGGCGCTTTACACTGCCTACATGAGACCCGTCTTAGAGTATGCCGCGCCATCATGGAGCCCCCACCTGAAGAAACACATAAAGAAACTGGAGAAGGTTCAGAGGTTTGCGACGAGGCTTGTCCCAGAGCTACGAGGGATGGGATATGAAGAGCGGCTGAAGGAACTGAACCTTACGACACTAGAGAAAAGAAGGGAGAGAGGAGATATGATAGGGACATATAAAATACTCAGGGGAATTGACAAAGTGGAAATAGATCAAATGTTCACACGTAATAATAACAGAACGAGGGGACATGGGTGGAAACTGGAAACTCAGATGAGTCACAGAGATGTTAGGAAGTTTTCTTTTAGCGTGAGAGTAGTAGAAAAATGGAATGCACTTGGGGAACAGGTTGTGGAAGAAAATACTATTCATACTTTTAAAACTAGGTATGATAGGGAAATGGGACAGGAGTCATTGCTGTAAACAACCGATAGCTAGAAAGGCGGGATCCAAGAGTCAATGCTCGATCCTGCAAGCACATATAGGTGAGTACATATAGGTGAGTACACACACACACACACACACACACACACACACACACACACACACACACACACACACACACACACACACACACACACACACACACACACACACACACACACACACACGCGCACACACACACACACACACACACACACACACACACACACACACACACACACACACACACACACACACACACACACACACACACACATAGAAGAACTAACTACATACAAGACAGTCTCACTTACCGCTCAAAAGGGCGAATAGTAAATAATAGGTACACATAATTAACGCACAAATTAAAAAAAAATGATTAATAATTAATTTACTCGTTTAGTATGAAGAATACATCAAATTATGTTTCTACAAAATTACATCGCGTTGCTAAACCCGTAATAGTGTAATTTAATCTTTACTGAGATGCTTTTGAATAGTAATTTTTTCCCCGAGTAATTTTTTTGTTAATTAACACCTTTAGATACATCTGCATTTGTGCATCTACCCTAGGCTATATGAGGGGGAGTACAGAGTATATTAAAAAAAACTAACTACGTGATGCTAAAAATTTTCATCACACAGGATGGTTAATTATACAAAGGCATGTGATCAGTAGAGTGAATAAGGTCATTTCAAAGCTCTAGGTACCTCGTGCCAACGGGTCTGAATGGTCTAATAACTGGACATTCGGTGATGTAGTGTGGGAGATCATGACGCAGTTCCTGCTCACAGAGTTTGCACCTGGAGTGCTCAGGATTGGGAAACTCGTCGCCTGTAGCCACCTGCCACGGGTAACGGTAAGCCAACCTGATCCTGGCAACCACTGTGTCGTACAGTCTGGTCGACGCTTTGTGCAACCTATAAATATAGGTTTCAGACCTGAACAAATTATAGCTTTTTATACTGTTCAGGTCGTTGGGAGTCGGTAATTTCTCTCCTATCAGACCTGAGTGTTTGGAACAATATAGTCTTGACAGCAGAGATCATTATCCATTATCAAAAGTAGCATTTAGGATTCTCCAATTTCCTCTACTGCTTTCTCAATGATATTCTATACATAAAAGCTTGATTTCATCCTGTAAACAATTATTCCTATTATTTAAGAGAAAGGTGGCTATTTTGTGAGTGCATTATAGGAATGAGGCGAGGTATATATCAATAATGACTTAGGAAATGGTTAGAATAGCTTAAACGTTCGTTAGGATACAATAAGCTACGTTACACAAAACCTTAAATACCGTTTTCAATATAGTTCCTTGGCACTTTCGGTTCGATTTTTATTTAATGGAGACTTTTTTTATACGTTTCGTTTAGTTAAAAATCACTGTAGGCAGAATGTTCTCTGGCAGCTCGAAGCATTTACAGCGTTAAGACAATAACAAAACAATAGTTCATTTTCGTCAACTTTAACAATATAGATCAATTATTTCACAGCATTGTGCTCATAAAAGTTAACCTTTCAGTATTTAACATAGGCAATTTTTGTCCTTTATTATTTATTTATTTATTTATGTATTTATTTATGTATTTATTTATTTATATATTATTATTTTTTTTTTTTTTGGGGGGGGGGGCAGTTCATAACTGTTGAGAATTGTCCGGCCATGAACGAGCACGTTACTTTGTTAACATTACTTTCCGAGGACGACACTTTCCCTGAGCGTCTGGCCGACACTTTCCCTATAAAACACTTTTCCTTGCCGACAGTTTCACTGGAAAACACTTTCCTTTATCGCCACTTTCCCTCAGAGCGCCACAAACTTTCATAGATCACTGTTATACAATTAAATTTATATAATAATAATAATAATAATAATAATAATAATAATAATAATAATAATAATTATTATTATTATTATTATTATTATTATTATTATTATTATTATTATTATTAATTATAATAATCACTAATAACTCAAAAAAAAAATATTCGAATTAAACTACGAACAGCTGCCCATGTGCTCTTGGTATTTAATGTGCAAAAAAAATATATCTTTAACTATATTTGCAACTTTATTATATGTGGGCATGGAGCTGATAATATGAATTAAATCAAGTGTGTGCACTTAGTTTCGGAGAACTTTGTCTATCAGTAATATTGAGGTACACTTACTTTTATAGCAGCAGCTGAAGCGATGTAACGATTGATGATTGATGAAGTTTAAGCTACCCAAAAGGTGGCATGAATAGCGATGTACAACACTTACCCGGCACTTATATATATGTGGAAATGAGTGACGATCTCAGACCATTTACTCGGCCATCCGTCCAGTGTCACTTTTCAGAGAGCACTGTAGCGGCGGCGTCGGGTCCTTGAACACTGTACCGGCCTGGCAGTAGGCGTGTGGAGGGTCGCGCTGCCAGCCTAGTTATATAAGGCTATACTTAGGACGGCAAAATATATATTGAGACTCGAATTTTCGAATTCAAATGCCGCACACTGAATAGAGGCACTTTAGAGGTTGTTGTTTTTACTATCGGTAAATTATACCGCCCACAAGATGGGTATGGGGTGCACGATAAATAAGCTAACCCAACTAAATTAGACCGGGTGTCACACGGTGTTAATAATTAGGGAACTGTAGAATTTATCCTCGTCTAAATTAGACGACACGCGGCCAAGTTATTGATTGATTGATGAACATTAAGCCATCCAAGAGGCGAGTCTGTAAAGCCTAGTATGATGTGATACCCTTCACCCCTAAGAGTTAAGCCAAACGATGCAAACAGTGATACAGAGAAAAGATTTGTGAGAGAAGAACTACATGCACTTACAATGTTGTTAGAATAACTAAAGTCCGCTGTTGACATAAGAGTCCGGCTTGTCATTCTGAATGAACTCGCCAGAAAGGATGCTGGAAGGTGACTTTTTCGTTGGATAGAAGGTCATTTATCCAACAGGAAGTCATCTGCACTCTTCCTAGGGCATATAGGAGTGTAACAAGATACTCTGAACTTGGCACTCCACAGGGAAGTGTCCTCAGTCCTACCCCGTTTAATGTATTATTAATATGTTGCTGAGCTGTGTCTAGGGTTCGTAGTGAACATAGCATTAGCTATGCTCATATGTTGATGGACTGGGTATCCTATCACCCAGAATATTTACCTGAATTTATCTGAGGGTCACTAACACTAGTGGTCTCGACGAGGACAGGAAGCCGGGGGCTTATCGAAGGTCTTGTCTTGATCTTTTCCAGTTGGGCTTTAAAATTTAACAGAATTTTGGCATTTGCGGCTTCGGCGGGTTGGAGGTTCTATGGGTTTATATTCTTAACTTTGTACTGAACTCAGGAGTTAGGCTTAGTCATGTTAGCTGAGAAAACGAACATCTTGAATCGGCTCCCAGAAGGACTAAAATACTGAACCTAAGACTAGAAACCAAGCTAACGTTGATTGAAATAAGAGTAAAAACTTAAATATATAATCACTGGAGCACTAACTCGGGATAGAAGAGCCTCCAATAGCAACAACTGGACCCATTGTGCGATAAATACTATCAATGCATTCGATATAACAAACACAATCACTGAGAAGGGTGTCGACGAAATATATGTAGATTGTTATGCAATTAAGCCTCTTGGGAATCTCTGCCAGTAAACTTTAAGATTATGGCTTTTGAAGAAAAAAAAGAACCAGTCGACTAATCATCATCTGCTACGTAATATTGCACAGATGCATATAGAAGCAAACTTGGCATCTGACAGCCTCACATACTTCACAGATGGATCAGTAGACCAGCAGGGACAAGAAACCGGAGCTGCAGTTAAGGCAGGAAACTCTGTAAATAGTTGGAGACTCTCAAATGGGTGTTCAACTTTACAGAGAAGTCTTTGGAACATACTCTTGTTGAACATTGACAACATGTTATTATAAATACAGATTTGAGAACTGCTAATGAAACCTTGCAACAAGAACACATACGTGATAACATCCACCTGATCACAAATGTCATATCATTAATGCAAACACTCAAACGTCAAGGTTGTCGGATACTTATCAACTGAATGCCAAGTCATGTGGGAATAATAGGAAATGACATTGCAGACGAAGCTGCAAATCTTGCAACTAAGAGAAGAAATGTAGTCATTTACATACCACAGAGTCTATCACAGATTAAGAAAGTAATTAGAAACAGCAATGCAACAGATGTACAGTAACCACAACACAGCAGTTGCAACATCAGGATCTGCGGGTTGGTACAAGAATTCAACCAACTACGAACCATATAATAATCATATAATAAATAATAATAATAATAATAATAATAATAATAATAATAATAATAATAATAATAATAATAATAATAATAATAATAATAATAATATTTTTTATTCACAAGAAGATACAATGGGATTCTGCGATTACACAAGATTGGTATTTTTACATTCCTGCAAACTAACACGCATAGCGTTTCGAGCAGGTCCGCTATGACTAACTATGACTAAACATCCTGTTAAATTGGGATATTAGATGAATTTATAGCTATATTTTGATATACACTCTGAAATCTTTAATATAGAATAGGGCAGCAGCACATTGCCTTGCATAACTTAGGCTTGGTAATATTAATAACTGAAACGCTATGTGTGTTAGCGGATTTGCAAGAATGTAAAAATATCAATGCTATGTACTCTCATACACCCAATGAACCTTCTTGTATATATGTAAAACTATCGCCTGCATATGTAAAATTAAATAAATAGATTAAAAGAAAATTCTTCTGCTGACGAACGGCAGAGGATTCTCAGCTGGCGTCCAGTGGTCATGGCAACAGCTGATGATAACAACAACATACTGCTCTCCCACGGTGACGTCGCGTCTTCTGCTTCCTCTTGATAGCGACTCAATACTCACCGTACACACTTTGTTTCTTATAAGCAACTTGGGCTTGTTAGTGTTTAGTGTTCACTTTACACAGTATAATTCGTGCATCAAGTAAGACCACCGATGGGATAGTGTTTGACTATACAGTAGGAGTAAATATATGTTCATTCATTCATTGTGTCGGGGGCAAGCAGCCAGTGTATGTATATATATATTTTTTTAATTTATATCTAAGTCATCTCTTATATCAGGAACTCTTAAAGGCCACAGGGCTCAGTAGTTTTTGCAACTTGTTTCTACATCATGTATTTGAGCTTTTAATGAATAAAAATATCTAGATTTTTCCTTAGATTGACAATCTAGAAAGATGCAGTCTACTCAGCCTTCTTTTTCCTGTTGTATTTTGGTGACCTTGTAATAAAACTACAGTACCAAGTTTGTTAAGCATGACTTTCCCCCTTTTAAATTCATGTTGTCTCTCTGTTACAAAGTTTACCTTCAAGTGCTCAGTTATTCTCATACTGATTACCTTCTTCAGCACCTTGTAAGGAATTCGTATCATTGATACTAGTCGGTAATTTAGTGCTTCCTGTCTGCCTCCGTTTTTTAAATAGTTGAACTATGTCATTTTTCCAATTTCAGGAGAATCTGTAACTTTGGTGATAGCAAGTTTGGTCCTATTGCTTTTGTTGCTTCTATAGTTCCTCCAGGTGTTATTTTACATCAACTTTCGATCTAGAACCAATCTTTAGTTTAGAGTGGCTTTATATTTAATAAGATGTGTACTAGTGTATTTAATTTTGTATCTAGGCTACTGTATAAAAATGTGTAATTCTGTGTAAAAATAATGTCCCTGAGGTATCTCTGAGTACTTAGGTCACTCAGTCATTCCAATTCTATTTTTTTTTTTTTTTTACGAAACTTTTACAAAACATTTTACAAACCTTTAACCATTATATATACAATACAGTACATATTATTGTCTTAATTTCATGTTTATTATTATTAGAATTATCACCACTATTATTTTATTGTTAAAGCAGCACAGCACGGTGGTTAATTAATACAGTGTGTTTTGTTATTTTATTATTTATATTTTATTCCAGATTCTTGTTTTGAGGCTGTGTTGCTAGAAGATGCTATTATGTGTGGGTCCAGAAGGCACTGGCAAGACTCTTCTTCTTAGAAGACTTGCTAACTTAACAAAGACCGATATTTCTATGACCACAGTTCCAACTGTGGGATTAAACATTGCCACAATTCAGCAAGGCCCTGAAATGCCACCAATCAATATACGTGAACTTGGTAAGGTCCTCATTGTTTTGTATAATGCATAACCTATTCTTAATTCTCTGAAAATTAGAAAGAAAATAAATACTGTTGAGTATAAATTATTGCTTAAAAATATTGAACAAATGTAAAATGAAGCATAATTAAGTATTCAGGAATTCTTCATATTAATTTAGTTATATTATCAGGTAGTGAAAATGTATTTTTATTTTAGCATGCATGCAGCCAAATAACCAGCAATTTCAGATCTCTGTTAATGGTAATTTTCTGTTTTCACAGAGTATGAAAAATATGATTTTGTTGTCATCTGCAGACACAATATCTATATCTGAACTAAAATACTGTACATACAATTTTCATCATAGACTTTTTGACATAAATTTCAATATTATTACTCTTGGAGTACTGTATTGATTTGCCAAACACAAAAACAGTTCCTGATATTCATTAGAGTAACCAGACAGATATGTACAGAAACACACAATACCAAACAACAACATATATTCTCAATAAATTACAGAGAGGTAACAAATCTTTTTTGATTTATGGAGGTGTAGCCTTGAGCAGTACACTGCAATGAGAGCTGTAACAGATCCATGGCATCCAGGGAGGCTGGGGCTGGTGTTGGAGGAGAGATGTTCTCCAGATGATGGTTCAAGGATTAATGTTGGATTGGTTTGAGATTTATTTGTATGGTGCTGAAGGCTCAGCTTAGTGCAATTAGCAGTGTGATGAGCAACGATTGGCCAGCTGATTGTCAATACTGCTTTTCCAAGAGGATGGCTACTGAGGAACAGGATAACATTTGTTGTGTCATTTGAAATAGAAATGGATGAATTACAATATTTGGCATGTCACTACAGTACTGCTCTCGAGATAAAGCAAAATCCTGTTGTTGCAGGCCTATGAGAGCTCTGTGATCATCTTCTGGCTGAAGTTGGTGCCAGTATTGTGCACTCGGGAGGTGGTAATGGGTTCCCATTATTGGTGACAAGAGACCTGTTCAGCTTATCCAAGTCCCCCTAAGTCATTAGCTGAATGTTCCCAAAATGCAACCACAACAGATGCATGACTCCCAGGTATCTATATAAAGTTCTGCTATGTAAACAGAGGAATCAGGTGTAAAGAAAAGTGCACAAATGTCTTGTCTGGAAATTGTTAGTGGGTTGATCTTTGGTCCCCAGATAGACTAAAAATACTAACCACCGTATGACAAATGTCATACAGTAAAGAGACGTTGAAGGCGTTGTCTTGAAAAAAACAGCCCACTGAACAGGAGATATGTAAAGTATTCAGTTAGTCGTGTAGTAGAAACAACAACACTGATGAGGTGAGGCTTGACATTGAAAATGCTAGGGGTAATGAAGGAGAATGAGTCTAGTTGCGGTGCAAGATGTAGGAGTGCAAAGGCATTAGGCCCTGCATTGTCATCTCAATGACTGGGAGCTGGCAAGGCAGCAGGATGCAAGTTGACTAGAATGCAGCTGAGAACAGAGTCCCAGGCAGATGCTGCTGGTGAAAGTGCAGCTAGAGAGGTCTATGATGTGAGTCACAGCTGCCACAGAGTAAAAAAGACAAATGCTGCCAATGAAGCAGTAGGTGTAGAGGTTCCACTTGATATACCAGGATCCTATGACTATATCGACCCATGGGAAGCAAGAAATAGAATTTTACTCCTCCACTTTGTAGCATGTGGGGAACTAAAGATCAACCCCACTAACAAGGTTAGCCACCCTAAAAGTTGAAAGGAAGTTATAAATCACTCGAGCTCCATTCGAGGAATGTTTGGAAATCTACAAACTACCAAACAGAACTCTTTAATCTGAAGATAACTTTCCTCCCACTATCTGTTGGTGGCCCAGGGCACTGTGGGCTCTGGTAAAACAACCACCTCACACTCTTGACCGACACACACTTTCTTGGCACCACTAGCAAAGACCATGAACCACCACTTATCTTCTGAGATTATCATGTTCCTCTTTTAGGGAGCCTAATGTAGAAGTGGTGCTGTTCCAAGTAGTTCTTTGAGACTTATTTGCTGAAGTAAAGCCTCTTGGGCAGGAGTTAAAGTAATTAGCTGTGTACTATTTAGTGTGTGTGTGTGTGTTGTGCTTGATTCTGGATTGTGCAGGAGGCGGAACCTTGCACTGTTTCCAGGTTTGCACTCGAGAGACGTATTATGTGATCAAAGATAATTGAAGTTCAATGAATAAAGGTAGTTTTAATTTGTTAATTTAATTGTATGTTTTAATCAACATTGTTTGGCATTCAATATGTGAAAGTTGTAGGTCAATATGTGTTGAAATTAAGTCAAGAAAAAAATATAGGGATAATTATAATGATTTAGGGGATATATTTAGGGTATACTTTATATAGGTGAAAAAGCCCTAATATGGTCCCTAATCATCAAAGCAACCTAAAGAGACAAAGAAAAGAGAGTTTGAAATCAGAAAAAAATCAGCCAAAAAAATTCAAAGTCGCAAGTTTTGCGAGTTGTGACTGATTTATTTGTTGACAATTTCATTCTATCTTCACCTAGTTATGGAAACATATACATTTTCCAGGATGTAAAGGTTACAACAAAATCAGATAATAAACAAAGGAGAAAAAAAACTAAAATCATAAAAAAAAAATCCCCTAAACAAATTTTTGGGGGGACATTGATGAAAGTAACATACATTAACATTGGATAATGCATTTATATGATATATAACAAAATAGATCATATTAACATAGTTATTCATTATTATTTGTGTTATTATGTATTACTCAGCAATGATATAAAGCACCAACTGCATATCCACTTTGTGGACACTTTTTACTACTATTGTTCTTCTTTGAGCGTCGGACAGGTGCTTGCATCTCTTTATTACTGCATAATCCTTCAGTTCCAGTTATTAAGAGCTGTTCTCCTTATCAACAAAACGTTCTTATTTTCCAGAAATTCATCTAAAATCAATTTCTGAAAATATTTTAAGGAAAGTTTCACGACACTGAAGCCATTATGTTGGAGATTTGTTTAACATGTTTAAGTTATTTTTACATAATACAAATATTTTTCGCTACTAGGCCCCCAATATGCGCGGTTATATGCGCCGTCTAAGGGTTAAAGAATGGATTAAAAAATCTTGTGTCTTTCTGCTGTGTTTGGGAAATGAAAGTTGCACAGACAGAGGCTGGAGTGCATAATGTCCCAAGGAAAGAAACTTAAGTGGACTAGCTCAAAAAGAGAGCATTTCACCTACACTTGAAGATTAATTTTGAACTTTCACTTGTATATGAATTTAATATTGAATACATTGTCTTGGGAGCCATTTAAGTTTTTGACTTGCTGTATTTTGCAGGGGGTAGTATGGCTCCAATTTGGCAGAGTTACTACAGTGGTGTGAGGAAGGTAATATACGTTGTAGATGCTGTCAATTTAACGCAGCTGGCAGAAGCTACACTACTGCTTATGGATTTGCTGGCTCATCCAAAACTGAAGACAGCACAGGTATGATAAAGATATATAGCAGAGTGTATATTTGAAGCAACAAAATACATGGATGCTACAGCACTTGATAATGTAAAAATTGTGCATAATAAGTACATATTTTATTGTAGATTTAGTTATTATAAAATTTTCAGTAATATTTTCAGGATTTACACTTTGTATATACATATTACTGTTTTTGGTAATGTAGTAAAACTTGGATGCTAGAACTTTTAGTTAAATCATAAATATTGGTGGTGTTTGACAAATGTATAGTCAGTTAATGAAGAAATAATAAAAAGTCAGGTTTTCAGGTGTTTGGTTTTATATTGCTTAAACATTTGAGATGAAAATTTAGTTGGAGCAATTATATTGACTCACACTCCTTGTGATGAAAATTGTTTGCTTTAAAGTTTCAGTTGCCTCTGTTTTGAAGACAGCTGAACATTTCACTTGCACCAATGATTGGTTTCATATTTTGCATCAGTTTTGATTTTTTAATAGATTTCTTTGCTTTTAGTGGCTTGCATTCTTAGCTGGTTATTTTCTTGCAGCATGCCACTGCTTTCAGATATTTTCTCACTTTGTCCTTGGTAATATACTCATTGCATACTCTTCATCGTTTTCTCTTTCTTTCAGTGAATTTAATGTGATTCAGGTCATCAGCAGTATTGAAAGTTGTCAACAGAATAAGATCCAAGAATCATATGAAGAATAATTATGTGAGACCAACTAACAGTTAGAATACTGTATATTGCTGAGTATGCTTTGGTTACCTTTGTCATTGTATGATGAACAGAGCTTTGTTTGAAAAATTCCATTAGCTTAACTGTTATACTAATATAAATCATGCAGAGAGTAGGATTTTCTCGGTCAGTGGTGGTGAAGGAGTGGCCTGCTCGTCACTGCTTTGTGTCTCTTCCCCACCACTGGGCAAGTATGACCCTCCCTGCCCCAACACCTACATTTTGCCTGGAAACTTCACAGAATCGAACCCTTGTGCTCTCATGGGCAGGGGACATTCATAATCCAAGTGCTGGTAGTGACAGCACTGTATTGGTGAGCAGAGAAGTATTGAAAGATAGTGGAATAAGTGACGGAGAAGTCGGTGTGTTATCTCAAATTCAAGTGCCACCTCCGTGCACAATGATTACAGTCATAGTTGGATCACTGACACAGTGGCAAGATTTGGCACTCAATGCAGAAGTTGCCCAGTCTGCAATTTTAAGCCAGGTGCGTGTAATTGGCCTTCGGCAGTGTGTCCCTCTCTGGCTGGAGGGTGGAGCTTGTGTCTTCCTCACTGTTACCAGCCTTAACCCTCCTCTTAAGTATGGCACCCTCCAACCCATGACTCAAGTAGAAGTCCTCCCACCTTTAGAAAAAGATGGATCCCATGATTATAAAGCAATTAATTTTACACCAACCAGTGTAGAATCTGATAGTAGAAGTGAAGAATTTGATGGCAATCAAAAAGTGGTAGATCATGAATGTACTAAAAATGTTGTTGATGAATCTAGAAATCAGGAGGACATACAGAAACAGAATAGTTTTAAAGAAAATATGTTTACAATGATACTGAACTACATATACATGAAACGTAAAGAGCAAAAATCAGTGTATGACTTGCCAGTAAGGAGGGACATACAGTTGGGTTATAGGGTTGTTCCTGTGCCAGAAGAGTTGAACTCTTCATTCAGTGTCGGTATGCTTGATCATCCATCACTAATCATCATCAGTAGAGAAAGCCTATTATATACTTGTTTGAAAGATGAAGTTAGTTTTATTGGACACTTGAGAAAAATTAATTCCTACAAGGAAAATTATACAATTTCAAATGCCTCTAGAGAAGAAAGATCAAATGAAATCAAGAAACAAGATAGCAAATCAAGTGGTGTAGTACTGGCATCTTGTTTGTGCACAGTTATTGTTTGGGAAAACTTTATTGCAGAAAGTAATGAAAATGTAGATTTTGTTAAAAAGATCAGTGCTCTTTTGAAAGTCAATAATTGTGTGGCTGGTAATTGTTTAAGACGACTTATGAGACTTAGCACTTTGAATGTCATTGAACTACAGACATCAGATGTCACTGTCAAAACCTTACCAGTATCAATTGATGTATTACCTCTCACACCGTTAGACGCTTCCTGTACATTGTTACTCACTGATACTGTTAAGTCACAGTTGAAGAACTTAGTAGATGAATATACTGTAATTATTAATCAGAAGACATTGATGGAAATTAATTTAAATGGCAAAAGGATTGATGTATTCATTACAACAAGGGATGGAGTTCCTCTGAAGCTTGATAACAAGTCAGTAGTGTTGTTGGAAGTAACACTCCTAAAGCAACATGATAGTCTTCCATATATTCACAGCTCAGTTAGTGATCTTAATAGAAATTACCATGCAAAATTTCCTTATGTTGGATATGAAGGTGTCTTCTCAAATTTAAAGCAGCATGTTTTGCTCACCCAAGGCTGCCAGACTGACTTCTGTAATGCCGGGCCTCAGTTTGCCCTCCTCCATGGCAGCAAAGGCTCAGGGAAAACTAGCTTAGTTGAATCACTTATTGAGTGTCTGTCGACCTATCCTTATTATATGCATGCTGATATTGTCAGTTGTAAGCAACTGAAAGGTAAGAAAATGCAAACAGTTGAGAAAAAGCTGCAGCTTATCTTCAGAGAAGCTATTTTTAAGAGACCCTCAATCATTATATTAGATGATATTGATCATTTAGTGCCATCGCAGGGATCTCAAGATCAGGACTCTGGACCAGTTTATGAACATACCATGCAAATGGTCAGTATGATCACAGGACTCTTAGATCAGCTGGTAGACTTCATCTGTGATACTCATTTTCCATTACACACACACAACCCTAAATCTGGTTCTGTAATTGTGATTGCGACATGCATAACAAGGACAAGTGTTCACCCTCTGCTAGTAAACCCTCAAGGGCACCATTTTTTCCCCTGTACCTTTGGAATCCCTCCATTAGAAGCTGAGGGCAGAGTTAAAGCTCTGAATGGTATGCTTCAAGCTCACATGAAAAAATATATGTGCCAAAAAAAATGTTTGCCATCAGATTGTGTCAAGAGTTGCTCAGAGGACACTGGGACTGATAAAGGCAGTAAAGCTGATGAGGACCCATTGTCTCGATGCCTACAAATAGATGCCAAGCTAATCACTAGACTGACAGAAAGTTTTGTCCTGCCGGATTTGAACCACCTTGCTCTGAGGACGTTTTTGCAAGCGAAGCAGCGATGGGGATGCAAGTTGAATGAAAAAGTTAGTAAGAGTAAAAGCAAAGCAAAAATCCTTGAGCAAATTCATATACAGTGTTTCCCAGATGGAGGTACCAGCTTCAGTGAGTCCAGTGCTCAGACTCCAAGTTCAGACTCCGATGTTATCCTGAATGTTGATGTTGCTGCTGCCCTCGAGGGATACATACCTCTGGCTCTTCGAGGTGAGTGTGTGGCTCTAGTATATGATTATTTTGCGTATATAACAATTTCTGGATATAAAATTGTCACTACAGTATTTATTTTGTAAATGTAGTATTCAGATTCATTACAAATTCAGTGTGCTCTTTAATTTCTGTTTATTTTCTTAAATGTTTGTACAGTAGTTTGTTTATAGACGGCCAACTTCAGAATAAAATTAAATATAGTACTGTATTATAATTGCAGCTGTCTAATATGTATTGTTATACATTTTGTGTTTATTATCACACAAAATATATATAGTGTACAGTAACATGCTTTGAACTTATGAAAAGCTCTTTTCTATGCAGGCTCCTGCATGTGTGCCACTCCTGGAGGCATATATATATCTTCTGCACTTTCATAGGGTCATTGGCCAGTCGGATAGGATTTATGCTGCACCCATGATGCAAGGATTATGGCATCCCTGCAAAATTATTTTAGGGTACTTGGGAAAACTGGAGTCAGTGTCAATCCAGTAAGAATAAATTGACTGAAATATATCTATTCACAATCATAAGCACTTCAAAACCCAAATAGATATTACAAATCATTACAACGAATGGGTGGTTCTTACCAATTTAATGACAAAGCACATGCCTGCTTCAGCCACCACCACCACTAGATGGCAGTACCAATGTGTCTTAGATCCTGTTCACCCTCACCAACCTCAAATAAAGAACATCATCTTTCTGAAGGTATCCCCGGTCGTTTCTCGTTTCTTGATGAACATGCCAGGTCTGCATTAGGCTTGTGTGAATTTAGGGCAGGTAATTCATTACTATTTCTCTACTATGAGAGTTACTGTCTGTGGTTTTCCTCTGCCCCTGACAAGTTCCCCTTATGTTTTGTTCTCCATTGTGACATAGCAACAGGTAGCCACCATAGAAACCCTCCCAGAAAACCTACATTGAACGTAATGACATGCCTCTTTCTGGTGGGTCCTTAGTTGCCCCTTTGGACTCTTCTTTTCCCTTTCAAAGGCTGGGTTCAGTGTCTCATGTCTCATTTTCTGTGCTCTGTTTATCTTGCTGATGGTCTGCTTTATCTTGCTCACTGTTCTGGTGGCTTTTTCTTGGTTAGAATGATCTAGTATCCAATGCTCCTTGCATTGGATGCAAGGGGGTTCCCTATAGAGGGGGACCATGTTTTGGCCTCTGGTCCCCAGTAGGCTTACAATGACTCAAGGGACTGGTATGGATTGAATTGGGTAAACCTATCAAGGTAGCTAGCAACAGGAAGCCACCAAAGACCCACCAGGAGGCATTCCATTACATTCAATGCTGGTTTCAACATTCTAGTACAGTGCCTCCTAGTACATATTTTCCAATGCCTCCTTTGCATCAATATAATTTGGTAGGGTGAGCTGGAAAGTTCTGACTTTCAGGTCAGGTTAGTTGGTCAGAAAAGTCAGTTGGATCTTGCCTTTGGTATGCCTAGAAGAGTGCTTTTCATGTACACTCAAAACTTTATTTTGAATACATTAGAGTGGCAGTGTTGCATGATTATATGTAATGTTTTTAAAAGTTTGTTGTTTATATAAATAGCTAAGAAGTATTTAATCACTGTGAAATACTTAATTATTCACTTTGTTTTTCTAAAGATAAACTGAGTCTATTGCAAGATGTTTAATTCAGAATTGAGCAAGACTATAAATAATATGCTTGGGAATGGGTAAACTGGAGAGGGAGGTGTGTGAAAAGTTAGGTCAACTTTTATACATGTACTGTATACTAGTATTATACCTTTGCAGGTTTGGCCCTATCAGAAAAGAAAAGCACTGTGAACCTCGGCATTGGTGGTCTAGCAGAGGCAAGCAGCATACTTGAAGAGACTCTAACTTGGCCATCTACATATCCAAACCTGTTTAGCAAGATTACGTTGAGGCTTCGCTCTGGAGTGCTGCTTTATGGCCCTCCTGGCTGTGGCAAGACTCTTCTTGCTAACACTGTCACCGCCAACTGCAGTTTGAATTTAATTTCTGTCAAGGTAAGCTTAAGATAGTTTTGATACCTGGAAACACCAGCATTCATCTCATATCTGCAACACATTCTCGTGGATGACCCAGATCATCATTATTTCCCTAAATTGTGTGTGTACAAGTAGTCAACCAATGTGATTGGAACATTGTAATTTCTACAAGCATTAGCATTGCAAATTAGTAAAAAAAAGTGGCTTTAGGGCTCCTGCTTTTCAAATCTTATGTTACCTGGCAACTTGTTACATAAATCCACATCCCTAAATCCAAATCAGAATTTAACTAATTTCTTTCTGAATATAAACTTATCCAGTGTATAGCCATTGTTTTCTGTTGATATTTTTTGTTGCTTATTAATGTCCATATGAGGACTGCTGTTCAAGTACTGGATGATGGTGAGGGGATCCACACAAAAATACAGTGAGGGAGAGACTGCATGATGTGATATTATGCAGGATGTAAATGCCTACATCTTGATCATCTCTAGCTTCCTTATTTATTGTAGAAGAAGAGGAAAGATTATAGTAAAGGGGTGAGGATAAGGAAATGATGATAAAGAGAATGTGACACAGTAATGGTAGGTCTATATTATGGGTCAATGTAAATGGAGTAGAATAATTTCTGGTTTATGTGCTTAACATGTTATTCAACTATTACTGCATTGAACTCGGCAATGTGATGTTATAGTTGCCAGAATACGCCTGGGATATAGACATATCTGGCAGCTTTCTCAAACCCCAAATGTCGAGTAAACAATGTGTCAACTTTGTGAAAGAGAAAACATGCACTCACTTGAACATTATATTATAGAATGTCCCATATTGACTGATTTTTGCCCTCCTGGGCTGAGGTATGCTGAACTCTGTAACTACTATATGAGTACTGGAACACTTGATGATATATTGGACTTGTACCCTAGATTGACCATGTAATGTATCAATTATACAATGTATGTATGTGATGTAGCTATATAACCTGAGCTTGTAAAAGCATCTTGATCACCTTCAGTCGTTAAGTTCTTAATTGCACACTAGTTTCTCTATCAGCTATCTCACCCTGTCAGAGTAAAAGAGACAAATGTATGTGTGTGTGTAAATATGTATGTATATGTGTGTGTATGTATGAGTATAAAGTATATGTGGAAGCTGATCAGAGTTACGTTTCGCCTTTGTAAATGCACATTAATGACACTATGTAAAAGACACATCAAACTCTTTGTGTAGCATACATAAATCTGTGTATCTATGTATTTACATATGTAGCCTAGCCTAGCATTTTAAAAGCACTACAATCACCTTCTGTGGTTGATTGTTCAATAAATCCCTGAACTGTATGTTTGACAAATCTCTCACCCCGTCCATGGAGGACAGAAGAAAATGTATATATGCTGGTTAGCATTATAAATGTGTGACCACGTCTGTGGTAGAAAATAATAATAAAAAAAATCTCAGCCAGTCTGCATATCTACACACCAGGGATCTGGTGTTTTCTCTGCTGACAAGGTTTGAGTTTCTGGCCAACTGGCAACAGTCCCAGTTAATTCCATTGTAAGTTCGGACCTGGTCTGAGTTTAGTTTGGGATTCCCAGTTGGTGTCTCCGTGTCAGCCTCTGGCAGCGTTGGACCGTTTGGCTTCTTGCCTCCATCTAGTGGTGGATAGTGCCTGGGTTTCCTGGCAACAGCTCAGGAAGTTGTGCAGGAGCCTGAATCTTGCTTAAGTGGTTTAGCTTCAAGTACTGTACTGGTTTCTCCAGTGTTGCTTCTCACCATTGCCTGTACTGTCTGGTGTGGGACTCCATTTGCCCTCCTTTGGCTTCTCACATACCATTTTCCTCTCCAAGAATTTTATGGTTCAGTCCCATGGCACCTTCCTTCCCCCTCACACTTAATATGTTTACTGATGCCTCAGACCTGGGTTTAGAGTCAGAGGCATCATTACCCAGGTGTCTCAAGGCCATTGATCGCATCCTCTTTATCTGGGCACAGTACAATTTTTGAGCTTACGCAGTATGGCATGTGCTTCAATTCATTTGTCTTCCTTCAGGCTCCACAGGTTGACTCCACTCTGACTGCTTGCCAGTGGTTCATTGTTTGAATAACAGGAGCCACTTTGGTCTCTTTGGTTGTGATACTGGACTCTGGGGGTGGCTCGTCTATTGGATTCTCGGGGTTTGCCTTTCTGAATGGTTTGTGTGTGCAATGTGTCCTTTGTGCTCACAGACAGTATCATTTTGGTTTCAATGCTACGGAGTAGATGGTTGCCGGCTTATCATTCCATTGGCTCCATTCTTATTTTTTCTTATGAAAGGATTAAGTTTTTCATTACATTATATATGATTTGAATTTTGTTTTGTTTTAGTTAAAAGTAAAAAAAAAAATTATCACACGTAACCTAACCAAACCAAATATATCCTAACCTAACCTAAGTCAGTAATTCATATTCTTAACATACTACAGTAATATTAAATGGAATAATAAACCAATTTGAAAGGAAATATGTAAAAATAATAAAAATAACTCTGTAAGGCACATTGGGCCTTGCATAATTGGTCAGGTAGTGCTTTTTATATATATATAGGTATATGGTATACAGTATTTATTTTATTTATTTATTTATTAAATATATTAAATATTTGATATTGTTTACTAATATTTTTCTGCATTCTCTTATTTTATAGGGACCAGAACTTCTCTCAAAATATATTGGTGCTAGTGAAGAAGCTGTCAGAAATGCTTTTGAGAGGTAAATATTCATCTCCATTGTGCAGCTGTGTAAGCATTTATATCCATGTACAGTACTTTGCTTCCAATAAAATTGAATTGACCCTAGAAAAAATGAATCTATACTAGCTATTCCATCTATCATCATACTGTGCTACTATACAGAAAGAAACACATACTGTATATATAGGTCATCCACTAAGGTCAGCGGATTTGTAGAGGTTACTACTGCTAAGCTTAAGATCGGATACTGTTTGGAGTTTGCATTTTCTACTGATGTAGATCTGACTAAATGTAATCTTTGTCAGCAAAAAAAAAAATTCTTAAACCACTATGTAAATGGATGTGAAACAAATCCAAGAATTTAGAGATTAGTAGTAAGTGGGGATAATGTTATTTTAGTCAGTATTACATTGTACTTTGTCAGGTCTTCAAATAATCATGGTATTATATAATTTTGTATCTTGTAATATCTATAGCTAGACTACAAACATACTGCACAAATTTGTATTTTTCAGAGATTCTGTATTAATCTTTATCTATCTCTCTATCTCTCTGTGTCTTTGTGTACCTCCGTCTCTTTTTCAGATTCTCAGACTCTCTGTATCTTTATGCCTGTAGATATTACTAAATTTTTTCCATTTTACATGCATTTATTTATTACTTAATAAAGCTTTTTCAAAAGTTCATGTTTGTGTTAAAACTTTTGGTTAGTCAAATTAAAGGTGTTCATTGTATCAAGTATGGAATTTACTGATACAGTAAAGATAATTTTCTAAATTTGTACTGTATTTATTGCATATTATTTCCCATTAACAGAGCTTCAAGTGCAAAGCCATGTGTCCTCTTCTTTGATGAATTTGAGTCTATAGCACCTCGCCGTGGGCACGACAGCACAGGCGTTACCGACCGGGTTGTGAATCAGCTGCTTACACAAATGGATGGTGTTGAAGGGCTCACAGGTGTCTATATTCTGGCTGCAACCTCAAGGCCAGACCTTATTGATCCAGCATTGCTGCGGCCAGGTATTCACTAACGCCATTAGGTTTTAGCAGATTATCTGAACAAAAACATTTCCACTGCAAATTTTAAGTATTATCTAATACATCTATACATAATTTTGGCCTTAATCCAGAGTCTAGTGCAGTACTTTGAGCAGGATGGGAGCACAAAGCCTTCCTGCTGTAAAAAAAAAAAAATCAAAACTTAAGTCTGTCGAGTTTCATGTTTCCTTTTGACGTACTTTACTGGTAATTGTTGATGTTGCTTCCTGTGATGATTTATAAGTGAGAATCTCATCCTCAAACACACTTTTATTTATAATTGATCATAGATGGCACTGTACATGGATGGTAAAGTCATTTTTGATGCAAATTTAATTAAGATACTACAGTCCTGAATATTTAAAATGTTACATATTATCTCATCTTTTTGTAGGACGACTGGACAAGTGTGTGTTTTGCCCTATACCATCATTAAGTGACAGAGAAGAAATTCTCCAGGTCCTTAGTGAAGCTGTTGAGCTTGGTGAAGATGTAGATTGGAGCCAGGTTGCTCGTTCCACAGAAAACTTTACTGGTGCAGATCTCCAGAGTGTTTTGTCTACAGCACAGGTTTTGGTGGCACAAGAAGCTCTTGGAGATAATTTGTACAAGGGTGTGATCCAGTCTGACCAGTCTAATAATAAAGAAGAAACTACATACTCCACTGACCCTTGTGAACAAGCTGAATTAAAAAAGGGGAACAAATCTCTTAAATTAGCCGAGGAATATAGCATAGGTCATAAGAAAGAAATGGATACTGGTTTGCAGCATGACGTTTTGGAAGAAGTGATAATTGAAAAGGAGATAGAAAAAGTGACATTTAGTCAGAAAAGATTCAGTGTCCAAAAGGATTATAATTTAGTTGTTGGAAATGAAAATGAAGATACAAACATTCAAATTGCACTTGTTGCTGAGAAACTAGAATGTGATAAACCTTTAGAATACAATGCTAGTGATTGTGACCTACCTAGGAACTTAGAACTTAAAGTATTTAAAAGACATATTGATGCAGCATTGAAGGAAGTGAAACCTTCTGTTACACAGGCAGAGCGGCTAAAGTATGAACATTTATATGCAACTTTCACAAAGTCTAAAGATGGCAGCTTTGGTCATCCATCTCCAGGGAAGAGAGCTACTTTAGCATAAGTTGGACAATAACATTGGATAGTAAACAGCCACAATATCAATAAAGTACTGAACAGATAACATATGAAGCTAATGAAAATTAATTTCAGCGTGTAGCAGTAGAGTTAAGCAGATTTAATTATGATTCTCGGGCTGTTACGTTTGTCATAAATGTACAGATATTAGCTTGTTAGCAGATACTTAATAAAGAGTGTAACTGTACTCTGCCAGGTAAGTATCATTTTATGAATGTAAGATACTGACAGTAAGTAAGCACACTGATATTGCTATACACTGTTTGCTCTACTATAAAGGAAATTGCTATCCATATTGTCTATCCAGTTTCATTATACAGTACCTAAAATCATACTATTTTCATTTTGTGTGCTTTACAAGGTAGCCAATTTTACTTTTAAATGTGCACGCATTTAAGCTTATGCATACATGCACTTAGTATATTCTCCAGTAATTACTTGGCGAATATGTTAATCCAAGGAATTTGTAATGTGCACGCAATTAATATATTCTCCAGTAATTAATATTATTGTTGTTTGAGCAACAATGTTGTGACTTCTTGTCTTCATTATTATTTGATCTCTCCCCACCCGTGAAAGTGGGGAAACAGAAAATTATAATGAATGAATGCTCATGTCTACCTCTATATATATTTTGTGTAACAAACAGTGCTCTATACAATAGAGCCATCCTGATTTAGCACTTTCTTTTGATAATTACATACTTCATTTCTGATAAACAGCAATTGTTTATTTAACCAAGTCCTCGGTTTTGTGTCCGTGCACATAGTCAGTCACCAAATTTGTTCATGCAAATTAGATATAATTCACAGCAAATCCTGCAAATTCAGACTATATATTTTTTTCCCCCAATTTTCAGTGATTTTGTTTATTGTTATTACATTACGCAGTATCATTCCTAACGAACGTTAGAAATTCACCATTGCACTGAAAAGTTAAGGGTTGTTGGTAAAAGCATTGTTGAAAAGAATTACAGAATTATACAAAGGTCATATAACAAGAGACAATTTGAAATTTGTCGTTAGAATATAATTTTAGACTTTAGGAATGTAAATTATAATCAAGTTTAATTGTTTAAAGCTGTGTTAGTAAACCTCGGAGGTACCTGTATTAATATTTAAGTAGAGGTGTGTAAATTATCCGTAACATAAAATTTGCATGGTAGATTCGGACACAGGAGGGAGTGTTTCTTGTCAGTTATATCTCATTATAAACAATATTTGTATATGCAAAACAAGCCTGATATTTAAACATGTACTGTATTTAATTTTAAAAGTAATTATTTTAAAGACATGAAATATGAAAGATAATAATGTTTCAATACAATTTAGGCTGTCATTTTGTTCCTTTGTTATTGTGGTTGACTCTCAGTGTCCTTATGGCTCTGTAGTCTTTTTTTTTTTTAACCCTCTACATCCTGTAGTGGTTCAAATTTAATACTGGTTGTTTATTATCTCTTTAACAGATAAGATCATAGAATTTTCCTGCGTTTGTAGACCTATTGGGTTTACCTTGAATAAAGTTGTAGACACTTCCATCAAGGAGGCCATTTGTACTTGCCCCATTTCCCAGAAAGGGGTTTGTTATTCTACTTTTTACCCAGTCATTCATTCTGCAATCCACGACCATTGGCAGGGTTTTGCCACGCTATTACAGGTAACAAACTGCATGCTCTTAGAGGTGACCTCTCACCATAATAAATGGTGGGAGAGGGCTCACACACTCAACTTATGGGCACTTAATGGAACTATAAAACCTCACTAAAAGGGAACACCGAGTCGAATCAGACCAGAAGAATGCCAGGGGAAGGATAACGCTACCATGGCAGGAAGCATACCAAAGAAACAAGAAAATAGGAGAATGTCTGCCAGCCAAAAAAAGGCTATGTCCTCAAAACTCTGCAGAGAGGAGACCTACCTGAAACAAAACAAAAAAAATAAGGCCAGGAACCATTCCTTAATCACCAGGGCTGCTATCTGGTGGCGAGTGAGTGTTGCTAGCTAGCGATTCAACATAGGCATCGAGTGTGTACGTAGTTCACATCAGGGTTGCAAATGTTATCAACACAGTTGTTTGTTTTTGTGTGTACTATCTTTCTGGTGTTTTTCTTTGGTTTTGTGGTAATCTCATATTCCCAGACTTCCATTACCTCTAGTGATGGGGCCTAGATTTTGGTCCTGGTCTGTAGGCACTCACAATTCATTAGATCCTGGTGGGGTACCAAAAACGAGTAATCAAAAGAAGGCACCAAGCCGGGGAGACTATGACACATCAGTGTCACTGGATATTCAAAAGATGCTAAATATCACCAAGGATGCCAATGTGAAAAGAATAACGCATACGGCGAGCAATGTCAAACTCACCAAAGGTATCAGATTCACCAAGGATTTTTTTGAGTTACATTAGTTTTGTACATGATTATCATTAGTACATTATTATCAAAACTCATTAGTACATGAGTTTTGGGAGCCGGTGGCTGAGCGGACAGAATATTGGACGTGTGAACCTTTGGTCCCGTGTTCGATCCCGGGCGCCGGCGAGAAACGATGGGCAGAGTCACTTTCACCCTGCTGCTTCTGTTACCTAGCAGTAAATAGGTACCTGGGAGTTAGTCAGCTGTCACGGGCTGCTTCCTAGGGGTGGAGGCTTGGTCGAGGACCGGGCCGCGGGGACACTAAAGCCCCGAAATTATCTCAAGATAACTGGTAAGATAGTTAAGCAAGAGATACGATTGTCCTGAAAATCAGGACATTCCATAAGGAGATGCATAACTAAGTGGGACAGACAATGCAGTTTGGAAAGTAAGGAGCAGGGCGGCATTCAATTAAATGTCTATTAGAAAGTATGTATGGCCACTATGTAGCCTAGCCAAAGCTGTTTCCCATTGTCTATTATGGTGGTAAGAGGGCGGCGAAGGCGATTTGTTTCTATTGAGTGGACAGTTTGTTACCTATAACCTCAGACCAGTGACCCTGCCAGCAGTGGCGGATTGAGGAATGAAAGTCATGTTTTGACTTTCATGGTATCTAAATAACCATTATAGGCTGTGGAAGTATTTTTATGGAAAGAGCCTCAGTGGCTTTTGGTTCCACTCCCCACAAGAGAGAAGCCTCCACTGATGGAGGCTTCCCCTCCCCTTCCTGGTTCCAGCTCCGAAGCATCCAAGGGTTTTGGAGTTTGGGTCAGAGTTTAACTCGGCGTGTAGCTTGGCCTTTTTGTGATGTTGCCCCATCCAGTCGATGGCAGAGGCAGTTGAGTAATCTGGTCCTGCCGAGTTTTCAGGGCTTTTGCCTGCACAACTAACTGCCTTTCTTGTCTTAACACTTTCACAAGCCTGGCGTGCGACCCGCCACACGCCTCATGAGTTAATGAGTCATATTTCTGTTTATGAAGTTAATAGGGACCACAATGGTGAACAACCATAGACATCTTCAAAAGAAAACTAGATTTTTTCTAAAAGAAGCGCAGGACCAACCAGGCTGTAGTGGGTATGTGGGTCTGCGGGCCACTCCAAGCAACAGCCTGGTGGATAAAACTCTCACAAGTCAAGCCTGGCCTTGGGCCGGGCTTAGGGAGTAGCAGAACTCCCAGAACCCCATCAAGCAGGTAAAAATATCTGTTATCAATGAGGCTCTATTCACAAACTTGTATTAATATCCATCCTTGAAATCATTTGTATGTATTAATGTATGGAAACCAATTATTTAATATTTAACCCCAACTTGTTCTTATATCTATACATCATGAGTATAATGCAAAGTGATGCCACTTCTTATTTTTTCAGGTTGCAATAGTTTTGAACAAAACGGACAGTGCTACGAGTCGTGGCACAAATGAGTTGCTGAACGTCATGCGTTTCGACAACCTTAAACAACACGCCCCACAACAGCTTTTTACTTTTGAAATTAGTGCTCTTGCTGGTAAAGGACTTCGACCATTAATGAAGTGGATTAAAGGGGAAAAATAACTTTGAATTACTTGTGAAAGTCCTATGGAAACACCATTAAAATACAAAAGAAAAAAAGCACTCAATAAAAATCATTTAAATTTAAGATGCATTTATCAAATTCTTTATACCATAGATGATTAATAAATGTTGTACAACATTAGGTTGAATATGTTAATCCAAGTAATTTTTAAATTATATCTGTATCCAATTCCACAATTTTGGAGGAGCCGGTATCTTTTTTTTAGCTGTTTCCACAGGGGTTCATATTGGTGCATAGGGAGACCATTTTTCCTTCTAGCTAGGATTGTCTACATATTATTGCCCCTGGTTGGCTTGAAAATGCAGTTTTAAACTACTTCCAAAACTCTTCTGCCTCATCATTTCCTATTTATAATACTGTGTGTAATTGCACACAGATACCCAGGTACAGAACATTCTTCTAAAATTATAGTACTTATAGTAACTATTTTGTTAAACATACAAAAAATGGACTGTTATAGACCCCAAAAAGTTCATATTTTGTATTACTGAATTAGCCAAAATTATGTGTACTCAAATATTTAAAATGTAACCAAAGACCCCTAACCTGTCCCCACCAATCCTAGGCCTAATATATGCTACTTTAGTCTTAATGTAGCACATGTGTGTTATTCTAGGGCCAAAAAATGTTTGGTTTTGATTAGATTTTTATGCCTTTTCCAAAATTAAGTTATACAAAAATTAACTTTGTCAACAATGTTTGTTTATATTTGATCAAATAGTTGTTATGCATGTCTCCCCTCTATTCTGTAAAAGTTATTATATCCAGTACTGGTGGATAAATTCTATTATAACTCCTTCATTGCTCTTTTTTTTTTAATTCGGTTTAAATTGTTTCATGTGGAAGTGTTTTAATATCTTGTTTAACACTATATTTTACATTCTCTGACAGACTACTATGCTTCTTCCTTGTCTAATTGGTCTGTCAGTGTGATTTTTTTTTATACAGTATCTATTTTAAATTATGCCAATAGTTTCCTAGATTCAATATTCATCCATATTTTCATGATTACAAGTATACACACAAGTACAGTACAGGAATTTGTAAATTCATCAACTACATTTATAATGATCTTGCTGTTTGTATAATGTTCTTTCAGAACATTATGTTCACCCATGATGCAGGCGATGAGTCACAATAACGTGGCTGAAGTATGTTGACCAGACCACACACTAGAAATTGAAGGGACGACGACGTTTCGGTCCGTCCTGGACCATTCTCAAGTCGATTGTGATGAGGACAGGTAGGGACAGGCATTAAATAGGCAAGAGAGAGCTGAGGAGGAAAGTCAGGTGTAGGGGATAGTAGTAATGAGAACTGCAGCAGGCCTATTGGCCCATACGAGGCAGCTCCTATTATAACCACCGAAGGAGATAGTAATAGGAATAAGAAGAGGATAGCAAGGGAGCGTAGAAGACAATGAACAGAAAAAGGGAGAAGAGAGAAAGAAAGGGAAAGAGAAAGAAAGAAATGGAAGGGGGAAAGCTTATGTTAAGTCACGTTTGTTAGAAAGATTAGAGCATTTGAGTATATACTGTGAAAGGGAAGAGTCCACAGCAACAAAGCCAGGACTCAAGTTCATGTTGGGTACATTGTTAATAAGAGCCGATTCTACAAGACGGCGTCGGTGTAGAGTAGAGGCAGGAAAGATTATTGTGGAGGAAGACCAATCAATGGGATGATTAGAATCCCTCACATGGCAGAAGAGAGCATTGTAACTCGCCTTTCGACAAACTAACACACTTCGTAGCAATCTAGTTCACACTGCTCCTCCTGCTTCTAATGCTGCTGGTGTCTACTCTATTTCCTGTTCATCTTGTCCTCTCCGATACTTTGGCGAAACTGGCCGTACACTGAATGACAGACTTAAAGAACACAAGAGAAGTGTTATGTCTGCAGACACTAACAATGCTCTCTTCTGCCATGTGAGGGATTCTAATCATCCCATTGATTGGTCTTCCTCCAAAATAATCTTTCCTGCCTCTACTCTACACCGACGCCGTCTTGTAGAATCGGCTCTTATTAACAATGTACCCAACATGAACTTGAGTCCTGGCTTTGTTGCTGTGGACTCTTCCCTTTCACAGTATATACTCAAATGCTCTAATCTTTCTAACAAACGTGACTTAACATAAGCTTTCCCCCTTCCATTTCTTTCTTTCTCTCTTCTCCCTTTTTCTGTTCATTGTCTTCTACGCTCCCTTACTATCCTCTTCTTATTCCTATTACTATCTCCTTCGGTGGTTATAATAGGAGCTGCCTCGTATGGGCCAATAGGCCTGCTGCAGTTCTCATTACTACTATCCCCTACACCTGACTTTCCTCCTCAGCTCTCTCTTGCCTATTTAATGCCTGTCCCTACATGTCCTCATCACAATCGACTTGAGAATGGTCCAGGACGGACCGAAACGTCGTCGTCCCTTCAATTTCTAGTGTGTGGTCTGGTCTTCACCCATGATATTGTTCATGTTTCAATACTAACATAATCTGCTTCCCAGAAACACAAATATTCTCCTCCTCCTCTTCTCTCTCTCCGTGGCACTGTGTGCCAAGGAGACCAATATCTACATACAGTACTTAATCTGGGAAGCATCGTATATCAAGATAAACTTATCAGTCAGTTCCCTTAATTGTCCTAACTGTAATTTTATATCACCTCACTGTATTCATCTGGAAGTACAATCAGCATTTTCCATCTTAATTATGGCAACAGTAGCACTGAACAAGATTTACTTTGTTTAGTGTCATAATATTGACAAGAAGTTTATGATATTTGTATAAAACCAACCAATATTTGTATAAAACTCTAGCTAAGAGTGTGTTACAACCCTGAATTTACCCGAGGGCCACTATATCTCTAGTTGCCTCAATGAGGACAAGATGACAGTGGCTTGTCAAAAGTCCCCTCCCCCCCTAAATGTCCTGATGATTTTATTAAGCTGGACCTTAAATTGCAGCAGTGTTTTGACATTTACGACTTAGGCAGGTTGGCAGTGCCATGGATTTATAACCCTATTGGCAAAAAGTATTTATTTAATGTCCTACATCATGACTTACTGTATTGAGCTTGTAACGCAAATAAAATACAACAGCTTTGTTTAACATTCGTCACTATCAGTCTTAGACACCATACAGTATGGCATTCTTTAATCCTTGTCCTGCAATTGCTACACTGACAAAAAAAAAAAAATTAAGTTTTCTTATTAAATGGTACTGTAGCTCTGTATTCAAGTGTGGAAAATACATAAATTGTATATCTATTAAAATATTTCATATATTTTATCTTTAGAAATTGTAATAAGTTAAATAGGAGCAGAAAAACTAGCATTTAAATTCTCCTTGCTGTAGTATGGGACTGGTGCTTTCATGAAGTTGTGATCATGAAGTCGCATGACTGTATAGTATTTGTATGCTTCTACACTGTTTGCACATTATAAAAGAATTATTGTATATTGTAAATTAAATATTTTCTTTCATTTACAAAACTATAACACTGGTTTACATATGGGCAAAGTTATAACAAATTTCTGGGGAATACCGTGCTAACATACAACGTAACAGTCCCTATGATTCCCTTGTTTCAATTTGTAATAAAGTTGTTACAATTTGTTATAACGTATTAGAACATTGTTACAACTTGCTATATTGATTGTACAATTGTTAGGTGTTAACACTTTCACCACTGCCAAGGTAGGGCGAGCAATGTTTATACTGTACTTTTTTTTCCACCTTCAATTTTTGGTGCTATGTTGTTCAATTTGGTATCAAAATGTTTGCAATAGAATGCTCTATAGGAATATTTACATATAAGAACAACATTACCAGTACCATAAGATAAAAGTATAGTACTGTACATAAAGTAAAGAATAATAGCAGCCTCACACCTGATGGTCCAGGTGTTGCAACATTGTCACTAGTAGAACTGCTATCATCCTCATGTTCATCACCAGCATACTGTATATGATGTCATTTTTGAGTGGCCAATCCTTATACTCAAAGTACTGTATACTAGGGACCAAATGACTACTTCGTGGAACTGGAGGAATGCAAGTACAAATGATTTCTTGGTATCAGTTGTGTAGTGTTTGTATAACACAAAAGCATTATGTATAGCCACAGGGGATGGGAAGACGGTGCGCACTTTAAAACAAACCCCATAATAATTGGACAATAAATGGAATTTTTACAAATATTTTAATTTTGGACGGCACTGGCATCCTCCGGATAAGTATGTGCATTGATTTTAGGTTGTCAATACTGTTAACTGGATGCGACAGTGTTAAATCTTATTCGAACGTTGTAGCAATGTCATAGTTTTTTGTGTTTGGTGGAAAGCCACTTGTGGCTCCCCAAGCAAATGAAATACACATCATCCAAAGTGTCATGCCCAGTGTAATAACACTATACTGTAGCAAATATAGTTTTTCTTAAAGCTATATATTAAATTAGCCCTTTGGTTAGCACTTAGTAATTTGAAGTTTTAAAATGGCACAAGTGAAAATGTATGTAACTTTCATACTGGACTGTTGCCATTCAGATCCATTATAAGAGTTTACTGACAGAGTACAGTACTTCAGTATTCAAAACTTGGCATGAACTGAAGAACATTTTAAATATTGTTCAGTACAATCATTGTAACAAATGCACGTAGTCAATAGAGAATTCTCGGTTGGAATAAAACTCGATACAATTAGGAACATATTTACAGTTTGATATGCAAATACAAAAATGGTGCACAGTATTTGCATAATTATTAGTCACTAGTAGCACAGTTATTTGGGGTTACTAATAATTATGAGGTCTCAGAGGATTGTTGGGATCAAACAACTTGGGATCCTTCAAGAACTCTACATTTTTCAGCTTCACAGCCATGTATCCTGCAAAGATAAAAAAAATTATTTGTACAGTATTTATTTATGGTATATAATATTTTCTCTCTGCAAATAGAAAACACTAACTGCTTGAAGACTGGATCTTGAAAGAGGAACCAGGGGCAAACACATTAATGTTAGGCCACAAATTATATACAGTACTGTACTGTATATGGGTACAACAGACTAGATAACCACAAATGTCACAAGTCTCAAGGGTGGAACATATACCCTACCCAACATGCAACTTGACAAAGGCAGTAAGAATGGCCATCAGAATACAACAAAACCAAGGCAAACTTCAAACTCTCACTCTGTGAGGGCAGAATTGGAGGGTCAGTCTATAATAAATCCTCCAAAAACTGCAGAAGTCTTCCTGGGTACCAAACACCAGGCACCACACACCGAATATTACAAGGTAAGGTAATTATCAAAAGAAGGCACCAAACCGGGAAGGCTATGTAGCACCATCAAAGTGCGAAATAATCAGAGGGCACTAAATATCACCAAGAATGCCAATACGAGAACAAAAATGCATAAGGTAAATGATATCAAAAGTATCCGATTCACCTAGAATTCTATCGAGGGACAAGTGACCGCGAGGCACCGAATATTACAAACACTGACAACAGCCTAGAGGAAAATGCAAACCCAGATAATCCCCCCTCCCCATCCACACAAATCCTCACAGTAATCAAAGACCCATGCACAGCTAAGGGCAAAGTACTGGCCAGTATCATAGTAAAATCTTCCACATAAATATACTCTCACCCTGTTTATTTTTACCAAGTGAAGTCTAATTGCTTGTTTATTTATATATAAATATATAAATTTATATATATATATATAAATAAACTGTCCAACTGGAAGCTGGCCTGTCAGAGACAGCCACTGAAAACCCCCAGAAAAAGTAAATGCCCAAACAGGAAGGGGGGGGGGGGGCAACACCGGGAATACAGTACCTAGAGATCATTCTAGTCACATGCAGTTCAAGCTTAACAGTTGATGAAGGCCCATGCAAGAAGTGAGGCATAAAGATGCATGCATCATGAAGCAAATACCAAAATAAAACAATAAATACACAAGCAAATAGTCCAGGATGGTCAGTGATTATCTGAAAATCCGGGACCAGAAGGGCAATGCGGAAGGAAGAGGAGTGTAAGTGAATGTCAGACATTAGCACCAGGCAATATGACTGAGGTGTCAAGGTAGGTGGACTGAGGAAAGTGTGCAGTCCCCTGGTGTTATGTGCAGGTAGAACAAGAGAATTGCCTCACCACCAAGTGGTTCGTGAATCAAAGGGCTTCACTGTTCCATTTGATATACTTTATTTACCTTGCTGTTTGTATGCTTTAGTTTGCCCACCTTTCTGATGGCCTTTTTATATTTGGATACAGTAGTCCATGATCTCCTGCTCCTTTGGTCCCAAGTAGGCTTATATGACTTGCAAGGGCCTGGCATGGACTGAACAGAGCAAGCTTTCAAGAAGTTACCATTAGGAACCCTTCAAGAAAATTGACATTTGGCAATTTTACCACAGGAGGCAATTGCTGATACTGTAGTGATTAAAGGCACTGAATCACTATGCCTATTGCAGCAGCAGAATAAGAGTTCACAAATAATTTTGACAAATCCTTATGGTAACCCTACCAGGGATGTCTAATTAATTAAGCAAATAAACATCAACAATTATAACTGACCTGCATTTATACTTTTCTCTACTTCTCTTTCCAGCTCAGCCTGTTGTCTTTGACACAAGCGAGTAATATTCCGCCCATAGATTTTTCCAGTATATGGGGACACAAACTGAGACAGTAGCCTTGCATTCTTAAAATCAAGACGTATGTTGTACTTGCAAAGAAGACAGCAAATCTTCTCTCTCTCATAAGGGTTGTGCATTTCAATGGGCTGAAAAAATAATAAATCAATTAGTTGCAGATACACTTGTTTATAATATAAAACAAAATTCTAAAAACAGTAAATTTCTGACCTATGGCCCCCCTCAGGGAGCATTCAAAGGGGGTCAGAGTACTGAATGAACCCATATGGTTCATTCAGTATTGTACTCATATCACCCACCATCAGCCATTCATTGACCTTGTCCACCAACACCATTGCCACCGGCAGACTCACAAGGCATTGTGAACCTATGCCACTATGTTCCTGAAGACCTTGAGCATGTTGAAGGCGACTCATTTTCAGGATATACTAATGTGAATCAAATGGAGCAAGCCACAGTGTGGAGGTGTGAGCCAGACAAAGCTTCACCCATGTTTGTTATAGAGACCGAGGCCTTCCTGCCAAATTGTCCTACTCAGGATTTTCTATTCAACATGGCAGCGTATGGATGCCTCGTTTTCCATGCACAACATTAAAAAAAAAATGCAAGATTGGAAAAAGAAAAAATACTCTTTGATGAAAATTATTTTACATGATGAACTGACAATGTGGATTTCAACACATCTTTCATAGAAGTTAGATTTTTTGTTTTTCTTAGAAATATGAATTAAGAGGAAAAATCTGGTGGGCAAATTAGGTCTGAATTTTTGCAAAATCCACTATATCAAGGTCCAGATTTTTGGAGTGCCACTGTAGACCAATTCTTCATATTCCCTTGTCAGAAACTCCTAAACCTCTTGTTCATTAACACCTCGCTAGTAGAGAGTCGACAGACAATTCACATAGACTCACTCCAACATTTATAACGTCACTGTTTACTAACATAAGAGCTTTAACAATTAGACAAACTTGCCAAGAATGTCACAATTCAAACACGCTATATTCACAGTTTATGCAAAGATTTTAATGCAAAATTGTTCATAATCTGTGCAGCAATATTTTTCATATATTATACACGTATCTCAAACTTCATGTATGCCTACTTACCATGTCTATTTGTGAAGTTTCCATATGCATCTGCTCAAATGAAGAGTCCCGCACATATGACTTCGGGGTATCTGGACTGGTTTCGCTGGTTATGGAATTCACGTTGTTGATCTTTGCTGAAGAACTGCATAATGCTTTTGCCACACCTGTCATCATGAACAAATTTGATCTAGAATATATGAGGTCATTTCATGAGCGTGTTAAAAGTTTGTTGTTATTAATATTTGCTATCAACAATATTTACCATCAAAAACATTTACCTGTACAGTACTATCAAAAACATTTACTGTCACTAATATATAGTACAGCATCATTCAACCCTTCCTCCGAATAGACAGTACGTTTTAGTACTAAATGTAATAAGTACATTCCCGACTGTCTGCATAGTACATAAATACACTTAATTGTGCTGTTACATTTACCTCCCCATTTATTCTCATTTTCTGTTAATACACTAAAAAATTTTAGGTTGAAGTTTTCGTGTTCCATTCTATATACACAAGTTTTAAATATAAAGAATTTCTTTCAGTTTTATTAATCAATAGAGATTTTATAAAAAAAAAAAATAGCCCGAGTTACTTTATAATTTATTGAAAGACTTTAGTTTTGTTTTATTAGTTTTATAAAATTGTAATATCAATATAGCTATAGGTTAAGTACTAATTGTAATTAAGAAGCAATAAATGCTATTTACATGCTTGTTCTACACTTCTAAGGTTAGGTTAGGTCATAGTTTTCTATAGTTTTTCATGAAAACTCTAATACTGTATTCACAATATTTTGGTGCAATGCTGGCGATTAAGTGTATTTATGTACTATGTTGATAGTCAGGATTGTACTTATTACATTTAGTATTAAAACGTACTATCTAGTCAGAGGATGGGCTGCATCATCATAAATGGGCTATATATACTGTATTTAAATATTTATACATATACAGTATAAATAAAAGTTAAGTTCAGCTAGAGAAACAAGGTAGTGCACCTCAAAAATAAAACATTGAATGTAATGAAATGATCTCTTCCGATAGACTTCAGTAGCTTCCTGAGCTTGAGTGCTGGTCCTGCCAACCCTAAAGGAAATTGCATTAAGCCTCCGAGACCCATCCACGCCTACCAGATGCCAGGACTGGAATCAGGCTGTCTCTCTGAGGTGAGATCAAAGTTCAACCCAAAACCGAGAATAACCCACCACAAAGGGCAAGAGCAACAAAACAAGTACAGTACTGTATTAATAATTCACTAATTAGTAATTCTGATTAATAATCTTCTGATTCTGAAGTGCTAACCCCGAGGTGAACAAAGCAAATGATCATTGCTCAACCGCTCAATGTGTCAACTTATACACAGTTTGAGGGAAGCCAAATCCTGGGTAATTGTTACCAATTGTTACCTCACTCAAGCTGCCCCAAGTAAGACACCCCAACACCCCATGGGGAAGAAAGGAGCCAAGCGGGAATTGGGGCACTACTGATGGCCCACCAGAAAAGAGCATTTCATTACATTCAATGATTTAATATCTAGTTGGTTCCTCTCAGTAGCTTGCCAAAAACTGAACTCACGACGACTGCACCTCGTTGCTCGTCGAGAAATTACCATCTGGCCTGGCAAATGAATTTAATGTGAATAAATGCAATCTTATGGATTATGAAATAGAAGATAATAGGCCACACACAACCTATAAATTATGTGAAATAGCTCTAAAGAATTCTTGTGAGAGATCTGGTGGTGCTTCTGGATAGAAAATTGTCACTAGAGGACCATATAATTAATATTGTGCGAAGAGCACATGCTATGCTTTCCAACTTCAGAATCACTCTTTCAAGTAAGTCAGTGGGAGAATATTAAAGCAGTTGTTCTTGATCTTTGAACAAAGTTGGAATATATAGCAGCTGTAATGATGCCCATCTTGTTCAAAAGACTACTGTATTTGCATATGGATCTTAATCCTGCGAAGGGTTAGTAGTTCGACCTTGGGAGGATCTCAATACTAGCCTAAAGCACATATATCGCTTTTATATGCATATAAGCGTATGTAAGCATATATCGCTTACACCACGGACAGTCTCCGTGGTGTAGTGGTAAGACACTCGCCTGGCGTTCCGCGAGCGCTATGTCATGGGTTCGTATCCTGGCCGGGGAGGATTTACTGGGCGCAATTCCTTAACTGTAGCCTCAGTTAAACGCAACAGTAAAATGTGTACTTGGATGAAAAAACGATTCTTCGCGGCAGGGGATCGTATTCCAGGGACCTGCCCGAAACGCTATGCGTACTAGTGGCTGTACATGAATGTAACAACTCTTGTATATATCTCAAAAAAAAAAATATATATATATATACACAGGCTTCCTGTCCCCGACAAAGCTAATAAGAGTTGACGAAATATGTGTACGATTTGACCAGAGTGACTGCGTCCACCTTTAATACTTGCCACAACTTTCCTTGGGGGGTTGACAGTATATAAAGCATTAATGATAAGGTTTATATTAGCTTACGAGGAACATGGTGACCCCTCGGTAAGATATGTCTGGCCATGGAGTAGCTCCTCAGGGAAGCAAGTATTGGCCTGCCGCTCACTGACGCCATGACGACCAAAGGGGGACTGGTCAAGTCGTATACTGCAATTTCGGATACCGGGCTAGAAACAACTTCGTTCACTGAGAAGTTTGTACATACAAACCATTCCGTTCGTATATGCGCTGGTTTGTGTTCGCTGTTGTTATCATCTGAATAAATACATGGCATTTGTTCATATAATTAGCGCTTCCATTATTAGAATTATTTATCCATTATTAGAATAACAAGGTGCAAACCATACCCCCTTACAGTTGAAATCTATTTATATACAAGAAGGTACATTGGGTTGCGAGAGTACATAACATATATTAAGAGGTACATTGTAGCAAGATTTGAGATTAAAGGATTTAAGACTAACACGTTTAGAAACAAGGCGCCCCCGAAGGAGGCTATTATTTGTTATGCACCCCATACTCAACCAGTAAGTAGTGGAGCAAAACATAGATTACATAGTCATAAAGTCTTAATCAGACCAATTCAATTCTATTTCTTTCTTTATTATGCACCCCATACCTATCCCGTGGGCGGTGGTGTAAAGGATTACAGTGGCACATTAATCATTATAACTATTTCATTCACTCAAAGATATTAAAAGACGTTCTGATACTCGAATCATAAACATTTATTTATTTATTTATTTATGCATATACAAGAATGTACATAAGGAATGTGAGGATACAAATATGGTAATTACAGTCTTGTAAAGCCACTAGCACGCGCAGCGTTTCGGGCAGGTCCTTAATCTAAGAAAATTTTAAGGAGGTAAATACTTGCAAAATTTATAGACAAAAAAATGATAACAGATTACATGAAATGAAAAAAAAAAGATGAGAGAAAATTGTAGGTACAGTATATTAAAGCACATAGGTAGCTAAGATTGATTGCAATGACAGCTTGAATGGTTATTGACAACAAATTGGTAGGCACAATACAATTAAACATTGTTTAATTTCCTCTGGATATAGAATTCTCATTCTATATCATTGCAGAAAATAAAAACATTTTTACATTGGCTTATGGCCAGTCCTTATGAAGTCCAAACAATGTATATGGACTAAGCATAAGAAATTTAACTTAGATTATATTAATGGGTTGAAAACTGGCTAGAGGCCTTTATACGAAACGTCCCTCACTGTGTGTACGAACAGTATGAAACATCCGTGTGTAAGCCTCCTTAACGTACGAAGCGATGTGCCTCATCTTTGGGCCACACCCGACCTCAGCATCGTTTCCCCGACACCTCTAACCTCACGAGCCGTACGTCAGACTTGCAAGTCCATCAGTCACGGCGTAGGGTATTGTCTGACATGAGCGTCGTTGGCCGCCAGGGAGGTTAATACTGACGATTTCCAGCCGCGGAGGTTGACTGGTGGGGGAGAACGCTGCGGTTTTAAGTGCATCGGCCCGACGCCCTGACGACGACGACGACGACAAGGACGACCCGCAGCTGGGGACGCCTCGAGCACGACCTCCACCACACGCCAGGATGGGCACAGCAAGTGACTGACTGTGGTGCCGCCTGTGTACCTCAGGGCTATGGTATGACACTCCCTCGCCGTTGTCTATCACTGACGTTCATCTTGTGGTGTGTTGTTTGGGTCTCCCCTTCCCTTCACCTCCCATTCCTATCCCTTCCCTTCACCTCCCATTCCTATCCCTTCCCTTCACCTCCCATTCCTATCCCTTCCCTTCACCTCCCATTCCTATCCCTTCCCTTCACCTCCCATTCCTATCCCTTCCCTTCTCCTCCCATTCCTATCCCTTCCCTTCTCCCATTCCTATCCCTTCCCTTCTCCTCCCATTCCTATCCCTTCCCTTCACCTCCCATTCCTATCCCTTCCCTTCACGGCCCATTCCTATCCCTTCCCTTCCCTTGGCTTACCCTCCCTTGCCTTCCCTTCCATCCCTCCCTCCCTCCCTCCAATTTCTCCCTTTCCTCGAATCTATTATTCTTGCTCTCGCTTTAAATTTAGAAAGAGCCATGAATTATCACAATACCTTACCAAGGTTTATATATTATGTCTACAAAGGCCTATGTTAATAATTATGTCTACCTCTAGGTGATATTCTTGTGCTAAATTTTACGCTTCTCCCAACTTCTTAGTGTCCACCCCCCCCCCCCCAGGGCCAACGTTCAGCATATATATATATAGGTCAGGGTATGTTAGGTTAGATTATGTCACTTTAGCCGTTTTAAATTTCCAGAGGTATAATATAGGGGCAAACTAGACAAGTTTGTCCCATTGGTAAAGTTGTCTTTCCTGGGGGGATATGGTGATGTACGAAGACTATTTGACGAAGCTCGTTTGGTGTTTGTTAAAACCATAAACTGTATATTAGTGCTTAATCCTAGACTACTACCATTACATATCTCTTTCTGTGCTTGACACCCCCCCCTCCCCCTCCTTTGTTCCCTTAATCCTGCTGGCTCTGTGGATCTATTCATACATTGGCTTGGCTGTAATGACCTGTTCACATACTGTGACCAAAACAACATTCTAAATAGCCGTTGGGGATTTGAGGTGCGGTTGTGGCAAGTTGACTCGAGTCGTCACAAGATCATCTCGCTGTTGTACAGAAGAGCAAACATTGGAGTGAGTAGACATGACAAAGCACTGACAAAAATTGTCATAAAATAATGAAAGCGATTGGTTCCAAGCCTCGGTCGATCCTCGACTTGTCGTGAGTCACGTTTCACATCGTGTATCCTTTCAAGATGGCTGGTTCAGGGATTGTCTGAGGTTTTAAATTAGACACTCTTCCAACCAATTTTTGGGCCGAGAGGGCAAATTGTCATTTGCCACTTGCCCAATCACTTGGGCTGGACGGTAGAGTGATGGTCTCGCTTCATGCAGGTTGGTGTTCAATCCCAGACCGCCCAAGTGGTTGGGCACAATTCCTTTTCCCTCGTCCCATCCCAAATCCTTGTGCTGACCCCTTCCAAGTGCTATATAGTCTTAATGGCTATCTTGAGGTTATCTTGAGATGATTTCGGGGCTTTAGTGTCCCTGCGGCCCGGTCCTCGACCAGGCCTCCACCCCCAGGAAGCAGCCCGTGACAGCTGACTAACACCCAGGTGCCTAATTTACTGCTAGGTAACAGGGGCATAGGGTGAAAGAAACTCTGCCCATTGTTTCTCGCCGGCGCCTGGGATCGAACCCAGGACCACAGGATCACAAGTCCCGCGTGCTGTCCGCTCGGCCGACCAGCTCCCTATATATATTGGGGCTTGGTGCTTTCCCCTGATAATTCTCTCCCTTCCCCTCCCTGCACCTCTGAGGGGGGGGAGGGCACTTTTTGTCTCTGGTCCCCAGTAGACCAAACAAAACTTCTGCAACTGATGTGACATCTTAGCATAGAACAATCTTAGTAATATATCTTCAGGGAGCCACAGGAGCTCCACCAAAGAGAGAGGCATTTTATTAGATTCAATGCTGTATTTTTTTTACTACCAAGGCTTGCCTTTTTTTCTACCAACGTTTATCTTTTTTTCTACCAAGGCTCGTTTTATTTTTTTACCGTGGCAAGTCTTCTCTTCCACCATGGTTCTAGAGGTTAAACTGTGCCTCTTCCACCAATATTTTCCAAATGAACTGCATCCCAAGCAGTGGTGTGTTGCCCTCTGCCAATTTTCCATCTGGTTCCTGTTTGATGCTCTTCTTCCTTGGCACCAGTTTGTCTCCCTCCCGTGTCACTGCTTCTCTTCTATCTACTTGGGCAAATCCATTTTCTCTCTTATCTTTTGTCAGTTTAAGTTTCCTCCATTAGAGTTGGCTCAGTAAAATGAAACTTCTCTCTTAAAGGCTTCATCGAGGAGGTGGTGAAGGGTTAATTGCTCCTTCAGTTATTCCATTTCCCTCTTCCTTTGTCCCATCTTCCTTAGGCATCCTTGGGTAGCCTGTGTAAGAAATGAGGTTGTTTGCTTCACAACTTTGTTGTGGTGGTGGTCAGGATAGCGGCTAATTGCCCAGCTGGTAGCAAATCGGTAATTAAAATTGATTAACTTTTTGTTTGGATGGGGTTTATAGAGTCTTATATTTATGCTTCTGTATGCAGTAGTGAGATGGTTTCTTGGTGATGGTTTCAATTAGATTTGCCACCGATTCCATTGTCCAAGCACTTATCCAGACAATTTGGAATATTACTGGTCATGGTGAATGAACAGGTCATTAGAGCCTGGCAAACAAACTGTCTGTGAACCCATATAGACTTCTGGTTCAAGGGACCAGCTGACAGGACGGGCACGGAATGAAACATTACCTTAATCTCGCTGCTTTATATTTCTATCAAGTTTGACATTTCTGGGGTTCTGGGTCCTGGGATCGGGCTTAATAAAATTGTGCTACGCATTGAATCGAGATTATTACATTTTATGAAGACTCGATGCAAGGTATTTTTTGTTATTTCCCCCTCAAATGCTTAGTTAATTTTGTTTGCAAAACATTTAACATTAATCAACTTTACAGCATGCTGTTCTAACATGGCAGTATTGGACAGCTTTTGGCATTACTGTTTTCATCTTTTAATCAAGACACTGCATTAACTAAAGCTTCAAAATTTACGTTATAAGGTACAGTAGCTAACCAGTCTTTGCATGTTCTTATAAAAACTTGTTTTTGTTGTATTTTCATCACTATGCTAAATTTGTGATTTTAATCATTATTTTAATTAAAAAAGTTGATATTACATTCTTGGCACTTATAAATGCTTAACTAATATCCCCCTCCCTTTTCTTTAAATTTACATATTAAAACTATTGACTTTGAAATTTTAGACATTAGACTCTCAAACCATTATTAACATGTAAAAACTGTTCACTATTAATGGAATACTAATTTGTACATGATATAAAATTTAAGCTTATTTTCCATACTCCTTTTGGAATATTGCAGATGTTAGAAAGCTTACATCAAAAGGAACCACCATCTGAATTTGTTGACGTTGCCGAGAGGAACAGAAAGAACCAAAGTCATGGGGTGAACCGTGTGGACCGACTAAGGTATGTAAGGAATCAATGGCCAACAATAATGCATGAAATTAATTAGTTTGTAGTTTAATTAATTAGTTTGCTGTTTAGACTATTATATTGTATGCATAATCATTATTAAAAGACTTTTAGTTACAAAAACATACAAATTTACCCTTTATATTTGGCTTCCTTTACAAGTAGGAGTAAGATACTTGAAAACAAGCTGAAGATATAGGCCCTATTGTGTTTTTTAGTGTTCTAGTAAATTTGTTATGAAATTAGATGGTGAAGAGGTTCGCTGCCTGTGAGGTGATCAAAGGAAGATTGTGATCTTTAGCTAATACTAGTAATTAAAATATGTGTTAAAGTAGGCATTCACATACGGTAGTTAAATAAGATAAGATAATGGTTATTCAGGTAAAAGTACATACATTCAAAATGAGTTACAAACATGATGTTGGATTTCTAGATAGAGCTAGTACATACTATGCCTAAAGCCACTAATACGCACAGCGTTTCGGGCAAGAAGATGAGGATTCAAGAGATGAGGTCTGGGAAAACTGCATGCTACAAAACAAATCATGCTATTCAAAGGTAATGTTATACGGCTGCACTCTATAGACCTTCCTAAGTTAATCTCCTTTCCCAGTCATATCTCATAAAGCACGTACCTGAACATACTGTTCTGTGTAAAGCAGATTTATGCACTTATAATGACAATTTGAATAGGCTTTTTAATTGATTTTTTTCATGGGGGAATTTCTTGGGGTGAAACAGGAGTTTCAAAATGTTAATGGGCCTTGATCCAAGAATACAGTATAATCTTAATAGTGCATACAACGTAATAAAAAATAGGTTACCAATCCAAGAATATTATTGAAAATGTATTTAAACCACAAGTAAATTCCGTGTCATGAGAGCCACATCTCTTGCTATTTTTGTTTTTTTGTCACAGTACGGTATGTGGTCACATGATGTACCTGTATTTGAGCTGCACCAACTCACACTACGTGAGTCTGCTGTTTGCTGTTTAGACTATTATATTTTATGCATAAAAGCTGTAATTTTGTATACTGTGCATGGAACTAGAATTTATTTTATTTTATGCATAAAAGCTGTAATTCTGTATACTATGCATGGAACTAGAATTTTGCCCTTTCTGTTAACAGCCAAGATGAAGAATTCGCAGCTGCACAGGAGGAATGGGAAGCTGTTCAATGTGTGGAGCCTATTCTGTGCTCACCTCATAAGGAAGACTTTCACAAAAGTCCCAAAAAGTATATTGATGGATCATCTTCCTCTCCAGCCAAATCTCCTATAAAGTCACCCCAAGGCCCACCTCCCAATGTTAAGATCACGCCACACACAGATTTTGACGAGGTGTGGGATTTCTTCACACGGCAAGATATGAGTCATGTGATGGTAAATAAAAGCTTTTCTGTAGGCCAGTGTTGTTGAACTACTACGGTACCAACAAACAAATTACAAATTATTTTGTTCAGCAGCAGGTATCATACTGACAAATTAATGCAGAGAATTGCAGGATAATGGAATGTCAGTGTAAATTAAGTTACTTAATGGCTATAAAGTGATCTTTTTTAATGTGCTTCAGCAAACACCTCATGGGTACTAACATAGGTATAATTGTAAATTGAATGCATTTCTTTTTTCATGTAGAATTAAATCCTGATTATCTAATCTCTAGATATTCGATTCATCTAAATATCCAATTTTTTAAGATTCACGTTTGAATTGGTCAACATCAGTAAACTGTAGTATGTTCTGTCTTCTAATCTAACTTTGGCCTAGTTTTGAGTTTGCAATAATTAGCTGTTAATTTTGTTGACCAGACCACACACTAGAAATTGAAGGGACGACGACGTTTCGGTCCGTCCTGGACCATTCTCAAGTCGATTAGCTGTTAATTGTTTGCAAATATCCCACCCTATACCATGATGGTGATTTTGATCTACCAATTAAAATTATAATACTCTTAAATAGATCTATACAAATTATAAATAATGCAAGCATATTAACATGTGTACTAGCATTTTTTAAACTTCATATTGATATAGTTACCAGTACTAATTTGACGCACACAGGAACTTATACTTGATTCATATACAGCACAGTATATATAAATATATTTTTTTCAGGGCTCCATCAAACCAACACTTGAACAAAGAGGGATAAATGGTCTCTTTCGCTCAATCTTTGGACCCAAGAAGCTGAAAGCTGAACTTATCGAAGAGAGAGATTTGCTCTTTGCTATTGCGCAATGTATGTACTGTACTATTTTCGATGAGAGCTGGCCCATTTATTAGCTGTCACAAATGAACACAAATCTGAACACCTTTTTGTTTTCAGTTACCATAAATGTTTTTGACCAACTCACTCTTGTTCTTGCACTCCCTGCCTGCATATTTTACTTTTTTTCCCAGTTGTTTGAAGTTGAGGATAGTTTATTAAATATTTTGAATGTTGGTTTTGGGCCTGCGTGCTTAAAGCACTCGAGATAGTTTATTTTGTTATCTCTTGATTTGAGTATTAGAAATTCCTGAAAATAAACTTTTAGATAGCTGAGGAATTTAATTTGGAAAAGTTACAGCTTAGTTATCAAAGCCCCATCTTTTTAAACTAATAAAAAATATCCATAATAATAAATCTATAGTGCTTGTGGTCTTGTGCATGAGTTTTCGGTAAATTTGAATCATATTTTCAGTCATGAGCCTCTTTAATTTTAATAATTTCTTCTGTTACAGGCCAGTTTGATAATAATGAACCAATTCACTTCCAAATTTTACAAACAGTGTATAAGGTCCTCACTGGTACCAAGATTGATTGTCCTCGATTTGGTAGCCATTGGGATGTAATTGGATTCCAGGTAAGACATTGCTTTTCATTGAAATTATTGGTGTAATTTGTAACCAGAGAATGTTATCATAAAGGATAACAAAGTCTTGCCACATTATTCAGCAGAAGAAACATGGCAGTAAGCTATAATTTTTGTAATTTTGTATTCATAATTTTTGTTCTTTTGTAAATTACAATTAAGAATATTTAATTAAATTGAATAAGTAGAACTGATACAGTCCTAACCCTTAACTTCGGGATCTGTAATATTGCCGTTTTTTTTTCCAATGGAGTGCATGGCATTGTTATCGTCGTTTGTCTGTTTACACAGGAAGTGCATCTGTATTTCCTTCTGCATGTTCAGTTCACTACTGAATTGCATCTGAAATTCTATAATGTAAAAAAAAAAGGCAGTAGGTAATGCATGCTGTATTGAGGATGGCAATCATTATCCTGTGTTTTAAAGTTTAAATATTAAAATGAGCTGTTGAAAATATTTTGCTGAAGTAATTTTTCATGCTGCTCAGCCTACTTTGTATTTAAGTAGTGAACTTATAGAAAAATTAATGAGTCTTACTAAAAGTACCTGTTGATGTAAACCTAGAAGTCAAGAAAAAATACCAGACATAAGTATGGGTAAGGTGAACTTCCTACACTCCTGTAAATACACTCCCTTCACTCCCGTAAGGAATTTCCCTTCGTTCTCATAAGGACACTCTTCCAACTCCTGCCAGGACACACTCCTCACATCCCCAAAGACGCTACCCCAAGGACACTACCCCCTGACTTCCCCAAGGATATTGCCTCCCACTCCCCCCAAGGATACTGCCCCACTTTACCATTCAAGTGGTAAATAGTCGTCATGGCTTAGTACAGTACTCTCTCCTGATAATTACATTACATTACATCCCTCCACCCCCTCCCCAAGACACTTCCTTCTCTCTCCCTCCCTATCATTCACTGCTGAAGGACACTCCTAATGCTACTCTTTCAATTTCCCTAAAGGGCATTCTGCCCTACCCCCCCTCCCCCCCCAGACACGCTCTTTACCCTTGAAAAGCATAGGTTAAATAGAGCCTTACCTTTTCTACCCACAGTAAAAAAAAAGCTTTAGCAGGCGACTATATTCCAAGTTGTCGTCTGTCCAGTGCAAGATTTAGGGCAGGTTAGGCTGTGCAGTTGCCCATTTACCCCTCTTCTTTTTATCCCCCCACGAAGTAGATTTTATGGGGACCGTCATAAGTAAGTATTATTAGGGCCTCAGTAAAATAGTGTTTTTGCAAAATCATTTTTATGGGAGTCTCCAAAATTGATTTTTTAATTGTTTTTTATTAAAATATTGATGATATAATGGTGTGCTCTTGTTGATGCAGTCATAGGCTGAATAATTAACCAGTCATTGCCCAGGGACTTCTACAGTCCTAAATTGCAGCACTAGTGATGTAAATTTTCTGACAGAGTGTAGTGCTTTGAGAAATTTGGTGCTGTACTTGGAACAGGTCACTTTATGTTGCCTTTTGCCTTTATAAATAATATTCCCCCCCCATTATTCCAGTACACATCATGACCATATTTATTGAAACAATTATTGATGACCAAATTTATTATTGGATTTACTGGCAATGCATGATAATTATTCAAGATTTGTATTTCTCTTAAAGGGAGTTGACCCTGCAACTGATCTACGTGGTGTTGGCCTGCTTGGGTTGGTTCAGGCACTCTATTTATTAACCCATGAGCCTTTGCTGCCTCTTGCTCGGGATATATTCCGTTTGAGTCACGACCCACACTCTCAGTTCCCACTCATGGTGCTCTCAATCAATGTCACAAGAATATCTCTACAAACTCTCCGAGAAGGATATTTAAATAAGTAAGCAATAGTAATTTGTCATGCTGTAATTATTTTGTATCAAGTTTCATTCCCTAGAATTCTGATACTAATATTATATGAAAATAGTGAAATAATAGTGTTAATTGTATAGCTATGCTGCTGCCTACAATATATATTGAATCACAATTATAGATGCTTTTGGAGAGAGGATTTTTTATCTCTTGCAAGAGTATATGGCATATTCCATCCACGTGCTAGCAGCCACGTGTGGCTGTAAGTAAGCTTGTCCATGAAGCGTATATACGTATGCTATTCTCTTTTAAAAACTTAAAATGCTGGTTAACGCATAAAAAAAAATTTAGTTTAGAAGGTCTCTGGACTCATCTCATTTTGCCACATACTAGCAGGCAACCTTATAGGCTGTATTGGTTATACAACGATTCAAGAAAAACTAATTTTTGTGTGATTTTGAAAGTGTTTAGAATTTTGGGCCAAGGCTCCAAGGCTTGCCATACAATTTCTGGCATGTTAGGGGTTAAGGATGCAAAAGTTAAATCTATAGAATAAGTAGATATTGTTTTGACCTACTTCAGTTTTGAAATAGTTGATGAGAGACTTGAACATCCTTGTGTTGCGTGTCAAAATAAATTATAAGCATTTTTTTGTAGTGTTTAGATCTTTATGGCAAACAGAATTTCACCTTTTGTCTTCTAATCACACTCTACTGTGCATAAGTGTATAATATAATGGTAATTATTATTTTTGTTTACAGAGAATGCAATAGTCGTAGTAATGTAAGGCATGTGCTCAATCAGTTCTTCACTGCAGTCATGTTCCACATCTATTGGATCTGGAAAACTGAATCCAAGACTATAAAAGATTCTGGTTTCATAATAAAAGGTTAGTGTATTTAAAGTTGACATTGTTTGCCAACACTTGCTCACACATTACATAAACCACCACACATTTGTACGTCACCAAATACACTCTCAAATATGATCGGACACTTATGCTATTATGCACAGACATGTAAGCATATATGGACTGCATGTTTTGTGGCAGTCATAAGAATTTTAACAGTGTCATAGTTAACAAACTCCATACACAGTTTCAAATGTGGATATGATAGAGCCCAGTAGGCTCAGGAATCTGTACTCCAGTTGATTGACCGTTGAGAGGCAGGACCAAAGAGCCAGAGCTCAGTCCCCCTCTCCCTCCGCCCGGTACAACTAGGCGAGTACTGTACTGTCCTACATAACACTGATATAACAGAAAAACAAGGTGGTATGAGAAGATTGTTACTAGATTAAACTTTAAACTTTCAATTGGAAAGAAAGAGTTGATAGCTTTTATTGAAAGCTTTGATGTTGAAATTGGCATCTTGTCTCAACAGGATTGTCATGATCATTACTGGCTTTCCTGCCTCGCACGGTCCCTGCAACATCCTCACTCTCACTTGTGCTGTGCTTTGATTGTTGCCCATTTTCAGATGGGCCCTGTTCCCATTCACCACCTGCATTTTTCTGTAAGAATGTCTCGCAAGATTCCCTCTCGGTACACAATTCCAATACTGTATCTCCTCGTGACGTTCCATCTTTACTCCCATGAAGAGTCCCACTTAAAATGTTTTGCAAGACCTTGACCCACAGGGTAAAGGCTAGTACCCCTCCTCCTGTTACGAAATGGAGTTTCCTTGAACAATTTTCTTCGTGCTCCCACTCCATTGCCCTATTCACCAAGGGTCTAAGTTTGCTGATGGTGTTGTCTACTTCATTATCATTCCTGACCTAACCTGTTTGTGCTGCCTATTCCCGTAGACTAGCATCTTCACGGTGGAACTCTATGCAATTTTGTATGCTCTTTGACACTTGCCTTTTGGAAGTCAATGTTCCTTTGTCATTGTCGTTGATTCTCATAATCCCCTCTTGGCTCTGGAGTCATTTAATGCTTTTAATCCTATTGTGGCTGAAATCCAATATAAGCTGTTTGATATCTCTATCAGGTTTAAGACTCAAGTTTTGCTCGGCTCCTAGAGATATTGGTATTAAACTTGAATGTGCTGCCACTGCCACTAAGAAGACCATCTGCACATCCTGTTTCCTAGAAAGGCATTCCATATTTAGATTTCTATCCGGTCATTCATTTCTCAATCCATGAACTTTGGCAGGGTCATTTGTCAGGGGCTACAGATAACAAACTATGTACTCTTATAAAGTAACCTCTTCCCCTGGCCTTCCTCCTACCACCATAATCGAGGGTGGGAAACTGCTCTGGGTAGGTAACATATTGGCCATACATGCTTAACTCATGGGGAACTTAATGAAACACCTTTTCCTTATTGTCCAAGCTACATTGTCTCACCTTCGGTCGTACATCTTTTAGAATGTTCGGGTTTTCAGGACAATTGTCATTCTTGTTTTCCTAATGTCTCTTGAGGTCATCTGTCCCCTTGATAGAATCCTTGGTGAATCTAATATCCTTGCTATTGCTCAACTTATGTCATATGGTCTCATATTGTCATCCAAAGTTATATTTATCCCCTTTTGAATATCCAGCAACATTGGTGGTGCTACATAGTCTTCCTGGCTTGATGCCTTCTTTTGATTATTAGTAATATAAACAAGGTTAGAAAATGAAAAATTGGTAAATTAGTTTAACAAGATACAATATTGCGTGGTTCTCTATAAGTAATGCAGATGTAATGAAATGATGTTTCCAAGTCTCTGAAATGTTTGTTTTCATTGCAGATGCGGAAGCCTACTGTAAGCGAAATGTGAAGACTGTTTTGCAGAAGCTGCAGGCACAGTTACGCAAATACTCACACGACGAAGCAGAAATGCTGTAAAGTTTAGTGCTGTAACCCTATTCTTAGGCTCATTCAAAGATCTCATACATAATTCAAGACCTTAGAGTAAACAAGAGCTGGGCATGTCAGGTTGTGATTGTTATGTTTACATTATCGTGTCATTGCTGCTGTGAATGAAGCTAGATAAATAAATATACAGTATAACGTATTTTTCCATTTAAAGTTTTGGCATTTATAAAAGCTAAGTTAGAAAACTGTAATACCAAATACAGATGACAGATGGCCTCATTATTATTTTTAAGGATTTTTTTTTCAATATTCAGATTTGTGTAGGTACAAATAATTTTATTGAGCAAAACATCTATATATGCATTTGAAATTTTGTCATGTATCTATAGGAGAATTTTTAAAGAGTTGAAATAAAAAGAACCTTGTGCCGATCTGATGTGCAGCATATGTTTGTCTTGGCTTTTCAAGAAATCAATTTCAAGTCAATAAATTAAGTATTTGTTTGCATTAGTATTTTTTTGTATATGTGAAGAAGATAATTTCTGGCTCTTGTTAGCAGACTTAAAGTTCTCCCTTCCTACAATTCATATTAACCTGTATCCTGTTAATTTTCCCCTGGAACAGATCTTTCCATTGGTTTATAACCAGGTCTTAAATTACATTTATAATGCACAAGACTATATGGATATCTTCATTAATTTTGACACAATGCTGTTGCACATCAGTTCTATTACACTTCTCTACCGTTATAGTACATGATTAATGTTAACTATTTATGTGAACCCTGTAGTATTGATGTATAGTACAACACACTTTAATTTGTGTATTTATGTGTACAATAAGGTCAGGCCGACCTACTTATGTAAGTTGTTTGAAGGTAGCTCAAACCGATTTTAGTTTCTCTTAGAAAAATCTGATTTTGATAAGCGGTGTAGGTTAACACGTAAGAGATGAGCTCTGGTAATTGTGTGTTAACATTCCCAATGCAATACAAACACGATGGAGGGGGAAATGTTAACAGTGGTCCTGGTCATAGGGAAGGCTCGGTGAGCAGTGTGGTTTCGTTCTCGCTTGATTATTTAACGTTGAAGCTTGAAAGTGTTGAAGAGGTGAATGGCAGGGTATGAATAGAAGGCTGTTATCTTGTGTAAATAAGTCATTAATATTAATTTAAGAAAATAGATGGGTAGAATGTGAAATTTACCTGCACTTGTCCTATTTAGTTATAACGAGATCTTAATATTAATTTATTTTAAGGATGTGGAAATATTAGGATAGAAAAGAATGGTTATAGTGAAGGTTATCCTTTACAGCGAAGGTTATTGGTTATTCTTTTTATTTATTGCCAGATCTCTCCTTTCTGTACAGGAACAGCTTTTGTCAAGCACAGAATAACCAATGCATATAAACCAACTGAGATCTGGTCTTGTTGCATATGGACTTAATTTAGGATAGGTGGGTAAAAGGCACTTGAAATCACAAGAACATTAACATGATGTATCTCTGAGAAAATATTAATGCCATATGATGGGATTGAACCTGCATCCCTGAATACCTCGGGCACACATACTACGGATTGAGTTCATGCATATGCCCGGAGGGTCTACGGATGTAGGTTTGATCCCTTTATACGGTCCCAGTATTATCTCACTTTTAAGAGTTTATCCTTTTTCAATATAGGCATACTGTAGATGCTTCTCTGGGACAATTTAAGAGTTGTGATTTGTGATGCACTGTAGTTACAGGGGCCTTTGCAGATATATTTTTTAGCAAAGTTAGAAAAGAACTTGGAACATTTTTATAGGTTAAGTGTGCATGGAAAAAGTAAATTTTAGGAGAAATGGCAACAGAAGTTTGCTGACACTGTTTTATATGCTTTATCAGTTGTATGCGAAGAACTGCAAGATTAACACTTTCGTCCGGCGGCGATGGATATTGAGTCCATAATTAACTTGACGAATGTCCGGCAGACACACATTTTGCATCCAAAATTTAAATATTTGTTAAAATTCCATTTATTGTTCGATTATTATGGAACAAATTCTAAAATGTGCACCTTTAGATTGCGAACAATTTGATACTATAAAGAATGGTGTAGCACAACAATTGAGGTCATAACACTGGAAAGAGTATACATATTTTAGTGTGAGTGCACGTTCCGGGGAAATGCCAGGCCCACCTTGTGGTGGGCCGGGGCGCACACGCCGGGGACGCGAAAGTGTATTTCGTAGTGTATTCCAGTGTTTGGCAAATAGCCTGAGAACTTTGATTCCAAGTTCATGCTGAGGTTAGTTATTTGTAAATATTTATATGAGGTGTTTACTATTAAAGCAGATGCTACAGAACGAGTTAAATGTTATTAAGGGCTTAAGAGTCGAAGATTTCCTCAGTCACTATTTTCTTATCAGTGTATACGTCTTTGTGTAATTTTGCAAGAAGCTGCATTCTTTCAATAATTTATATACGTGAAGTCAATTTTCATATGTTAAGATTAATACAATGAGAGGAATATCTAAAGAGGCCTGGCCTACCTTATATTTAAAGGAATAAAAATTATATATTAAAACTTAAAATATGGTGGGAAGATATATGGATGGTTGAAAGGAACTTGTAATTTAGTCTGGATGAAGGTTGGTTAAGATGAATCCAATCATTTCAAACATTTGACTAAGAAGTGTGTAAGAGTTCATATCAGGAGGAAATGAAGTTATATTCATATACAGTACTGTACTGTATATCATAGTGTCAAGTTAATATAGAAAACTCATTATACAGTACTTCACTGATATAACCTGATTATTTTTCAGTGAGCCAAAGTGTAAAGGACGTAGGTGTGCATGCGTTGTGTGTGTGTGTTGTGCATGATTTATTTATAGAAATTGTTGTTTAGTAGAATAAAATATGCCCTTCTAAAATAGGATATTGCATTTTCATGTACTATACATGCAAGCCTTTTATAACATGGCAGTTACATTTACTGGAAAATGGCATGTTATCTTAAAATGTGTAGTATAAATGGGCTAACATGTTGGAAAAATTAGGTTATGCTCCCAGTTATGGCAGAGTTGTACACTACCTGCATACTGCATTGAGATTGAAGTTGTGAGAAATTGTGGTGTTAATATGCAAATGGTGTATGCGTGTGAGTGGACAGGGACAACCGTGTGGGGATGGCAGGGAGAGCTGTAGTGGGTGGTCAGGTAGAAGTGTTGGTTAGGCAGGTGGTAGTGCATTAATGCCTGCCTATCATAGCTTACCTTTCAATGGATGGGTGGGTGGTAGTGTGTTGGTGGATGGATGAGTGTGTGGTAGAAAGTGGGCGTAAAGACAGATGTAGTGAGTGGAGTTGTGTTACTGCCAACTCGTCAAGTGACTCAAACATGCCAACCAGGATCCACACACGTCGCGCCGACTCTGTTCCCCTCCCTGGGCGGGACTATAGAAGGGATGAGGTGATATTCTATACCACCTTTATTCTAGAAGGGATGAGGTTTAGATACAACTACATAAATATCAGCTGACCTGGCCCATCACAAACTACCAAGAAAATACAATGGAAAATTCTTGGTAAAACTACGTATTACCAAGAAAATACATAAGGCTTTATAACAAATTTAGTAAATGAGGAGCTGAATGGATAAGAGGGTTCATTTGATGAAAGGGGTGTGAATGGTTGGGGAATGAAGTGGGTGAGTAAGTATGAGAGTGTTTGTGAGAGTTGGTGGGTGTGAAGTGGGAGCCAATATCATGATTGTGTTTTCTGAAGAGGACAGATGAACCTACCATGAATGCATGTTATAAAATAATAGTGCATACAGTTTAAATGTGATCACTCGATTAAAACTGGGTTATGTCGAATATGTCTTGTATAAATGCACATTGTATAAATATCGACTGTAATATTGTATTTCATTTTTTTGTATCAAAACATGAAAATAGGTTTTGTAGTGTAGCTGTTACTGTGCAGAGAGGATTGGACCTGGCATGTCATAATAGAATTCAGGACAATACAGGGAACAATACAAAATATGGTTCAAATTTTCAAAGATATGCAAAAAAAAAAAAAGATTATATTCGGTGTATGGGGTAATGAAACCTATCTTAAGATATTAATTTTAAGAATATTTCCTGTTTAATTGTACAGTACAAGTAAAACTTCTGTTAGTTTTTTTGGGGTAGCGCTTCAGTGTTGTCGGCTTCTTGGTGTGCAATTGAAGCAGTTTATTTTGTTGTTTGTTTACATTGGTCAGGGAGAAGACACTGCATGTGCCCAACTAGCCGTGTTGTCTTATCTCCTACCACAATTCTTGGCAAGTGATGTAGCAAGGGATTCCATCTAGTGTCGTTAATCTTTGTCTTCAGCAATATAAAAGGTAATTGGGATTTCTTGTATTACACACTCGCTTTTCTTGTTTAATTTGGTTTTGACTAAATTCAATTATATTGCACCTACATTTGTTTAATATTCATCTGTATTACTGAATTCTTGAATGATGGTTCATCTCATTATTACGAGACTGTCACTGGCAAGTGTGTGTATTCACCTAGTTGTGCTTGTGGGAGTTGAGCTCTGCTCTTTTGGCCCACCTCTCAACTGTCAATCAACTGTTTACCAACTTATTTCCCCCCCCCCCCCCCCCCACTGCACGTGTGTGTGTGTGTGTGTGTGCAACTACAAGTACTGTTGTGGTTATAAACCTCTACATTCGTACCTAACATAAATGCTTGTGTGCAGGGAGAGAGGAAATTCCTTTGTTTCAAGGAGTAATGAATTAAACAGATACAGTAAATCACTTTTTACTATCTTGATATGAATAAATTAACATTTTCTGAAATTGAGGTGAATTAAATCTTTTTGGCACGAATCAAAAATTACACTCATCCTTCTCGGGTTTAGTGTGTGTGTTCCTGCTTAATCTGGTGGGATAATGCAATTCTAGATTTTTTGTACTTTTAATGAGATTGAAACAAATATGCTAGTGACAAGCTATTTTTTCACACAAGATGAGGCTGATGTGTTAATTTTGAATCCTATATATTTTTGGTAAGGGTACCAGTATTATCTAGCTTTAGCATTTACAAATATTGGTGCATAAAAAACAAATATAACCTTTGTGTTCAGAATAGATTTGCTTTATTGCTGCATTTTTAATTCTCTTCTAAAGTGGCTGAATTTTTTGTGCACCTAGATATGAATCATTGTATTGATGTAGTTTATGTGAAATTTGTGGTGTATAGTATTTTGTGAATATTATTGTACTCCCACTTGTATACTTTCAACAGTTTCAAACATTGTAATGTTGAAAATCATTGTAGCCTCTGAGCTATAAAGGTTTTTGATCTTGTTAAGAAAATAAAGTCTTGGTGGAAAATTTTGTGTGAAGTCGTCTGTGGGAATAGAATATAAATATATATATTTAGTTTAGAATACAGTACCTAGGGACCATGTTTAAAAAAAAAAATAAGGGTTAAAGGGTTGAATCCACGCAGCATGCCTCAGTTGATACTGTAATAGGGGGTCAATGTGTTGGGTTGAAGATTTGTTACCTGCTGGTAGTAGTACGTAGATATTATCTAAAAATAGCATCCCTTATGTTCGTGTTTCCCATACCAAAGGTTGCTGTAGTAGACACTACATGCTTTTAGCTAGCTTTATGTGTGTGTTGAGGGATTCGTACTTAGTACAATGCTGTATTTACCTTTAGGTAGATCTTTTAAGTGCTTTAAAGCTTGCATGTATATTTTGTGTATTTTTATTGCTGTATCTTTAAAATTCATCATTTTTATTTAAGACATATTTATCAGTTGTAGAACTTTATTGTATTGATTTTGAGACGCATTGTCATTGGTGTTAGTAGGAGGAACATGTGATGCACTCTTGTTTGATGGTAATGCTTCCAATATTACAGGCTAAACTATGACAATCTCTTGGCTTAGAAATGAAACCTTACACTTTTAGTGATAGATATTTGTGTATTGCTTCTCAGATGATAGTATGACAGTGTTTGCATGTCAGTTGGCTGTTATATAGTGCACTGTTTTGTGTGTTTTTCTTAGTGTGATGAGCCATATCATGGAGGTGATTGAGCATGAGCATTTAATAACTCCATCTCATATGTATGCAATACCTCAGATGCAAGATCAAGCGATGTGTCTCGAGAAGGTATAGCGTCTTCTCTAACTGCAAGAAAAGTTCATTTTTTTTTACTTTCTGAATGGTGCAAGCTAATGAAATTTCTTATTGTTATACCTAAGTACATGTATTTAGGTATAAATAGTTTACCACTATTTTGCTTTAGTTATCATTTGAGTTATTTGTGGTAATTAAGGCTTTAGCTCATGATCACTGTAGCCAGTATCGTGCTAACTGAAACACGGAACTATTGTAGCTGAAATAATTGGTTATGCATTAGGTTATGCATTAATATTTTCCCATTGTGCAATATTAACATGGTTACTATATCAAAGGTTGCTCAGAAATTCATAATCTGCTAGTAAAAGTGGTATTTAAGAAGTAATGTCTACATTTATGAAAGGTTTGTAACATTATCATTAAATCAAAATTGCAAATAGTCTATGAAAAAAAAAGACTGGCATGAAAGAATACTGAAACTTCATTTTGATAAGATCAATGTAAGTGAATACAGTACTTCAGTTTAAGTGGAATAGATGCACACAGATAAATATCCAAGATAATTTGAAAAGATATTGTACAAATAAAAAAAATATGCTTGCAGTAATAGTTGGAGGGTATACTGTACAGGGCAATCACAAGAATGTTATATACAGTATCTCTGAAAAGTATTGAAGTTGTCGATGGGATTGAACACCCATCCCTAAACTCTGATAGTTCAGGTCCAGTCCGTAGTGCACGTGCCTGAGTTCATGGATGCGAGTTCAATCCCATCGTACGGCATCTAGTGTTTTCTCGTTTATTGAGGGTATTAAATAATTAGTACTAATAATAATTCATTGTGTTGAGGGACAGGAAGACAGTGTGTATTCATACATGTTGGGCTTAAATTGAGGTCTCCCCATGCTCAAAGTCGAATTATTGACTCCACCCAGGATGCAACCCCACAACAAGCTGACTCACTCCCGAGTACTTACTTACTGCTAGGTGAACAGAGGCATAAGGTGAAAGGAGATGTGCCCAACCATTTCTGTCTCGCTTGGGATTTGAACTCGGAATTCTTGATTGTGCGTTGAGAACAGATCTGACTGAACTACTGGGACCGGGTAATAAGTAGCTTTTAAATACTGGTCGAGAAAATGTAAATATGGCAGGTATTTCTAAAAAGTAAAACATGCAAGTTTTGTAGTGAAGTGGGGTTATAGTTGTATAAATATGTTTTAAACATTTTGTGGCTATAGAGGAATCTAACAAAAACAAATGACGATATAAAAATAATGTTTACGAGTACAGTATAGTACTGTACTGCAATTCTTTCTCAATTATGTATGGAGGTGAATAATTGTTACTTTATAGTACCTGGTAAAGTATTTATGGAGAATGAATTGTGATTTTTCAAGTTTCAATATTATAGTTGTTTATCATTACCTATAACTGAAAACTACATTTAGAAGCCTCATTAGTATCACAAGTGCAGTGATTTTTTTTTTATAGAAAATATGAGTACAGTATTATAAAATAGGTGAGGGATATATTACTGTGGTTAAATTTTCATGATACAGTAGTATGAATTAAACATTGTAATTTTGAAATTAGTATTTGAACAGAAGTAACGCAAACAAGGAGTAATGGTTTCGACCTCAACAAGCCATTATATAGGACAGACATCAGAAGATGCTTTTTCACCTATAGGGTTGTAAACCCATGGAACTGCCTACCTGCCATAGCCTGCTGCTGAATTTCAAAATCCAGCTTGAAAAAAGCATCTAGACAAATGGGGGAGGGGTGCTTTGACAAGCTACTGGCTTCCTGTCCTGGTCGAGGCCACTAGTGTTAGTGGCCCCTCGGGTATATTCAGTGTGTTTACAGTTCAGGAGAGGCTTTACATGTGCAGTCAAGTGTACAGTGTGTCTTAGTACAATACTGTATATTATTTACCTGACCATCGCTTTGCTGATTTTGTTACAGTTTGGAAATGGTGAGGCATGTGATTGACTTTTTTTTTTTTCTGGTTTGTCCGGTTTAAGGTGAATACATTATGCTAGTGTTTTCAACTTCTTAATTGAGGGGGGAGAGAAATCGGCTCACCTGAACACACACTGAAGTACTGTACTTTGTGATGAGCTTATATTAATACTGTAAGTCTTAATTTTAGGTATACCTGTCACATACCTGTTGATGATTCCGAGGGTCAACGTCCCCGCAGATAATAAATGTAAACAAAAATAGAACTTTGTGTAAATTAAAATGAATACAAGAATGCTGGCAGAGCTTTTGAGGTATATGTAAGATGGAATAAAGTTTAATTTCTAATACTTGTGTTCATATTTATAATATTTTATGATAGTATGCCATCTAAATTGCATTTATTTTGACTAATCTTAGTTTGGTGGAAGCATAATTCAATTAATTTATTTTGAATCTTTTTATCATGCATTATTTTTAAGCCATTTCTTGCTTATTCCAGCAGTTTTTAAAGTTTTTTTAAATATACTGTATTTAAGTCCATGTTCAAAATAATATTCAGAGTCTGCTCAATGCACCATGAAGGTTGTTTCCACATTCCTAAACATTTTGTCCTTTAACTAGCCCTTTTGTCTGTGTATCCTCCACTTGACATTTGTGCTTTTCTTGTTAAAGTGACACGTCGTGAGTCACTTGACTTCTGGGTAGTGTATGGGATTTGTTCACTGCAATGGGCAGTGCAGTCGTGCCGAGCCTAGCTCCTCATACATGTTGGCGCTTTGTGTTTCTACAAAGGGTAATGCATATTGATTATTGTTTTCTGTGATTGCCTTCACCTTTTCCCTACAGGTGTTTATGATCAAGGCTCGGAAATTTGTTTCATCCGAGATGCTTCCCTTGTGTCTAGCATCCTTGCATCATTTTAAGTTTTTCTTCGTCTCCAAAGATGTTGGTGAATGCTTCAGTGAGTGAAATTCATCCTGTAGCTTCCATTAAAATTGTAAAATTAACTTTTGTTAATTACAGTAGTCTGTTAATTCTCAGTGTGGCATTGTAGTCATGTGTTGATATCTATTGCAATGCAGTCATCATCATTGTCATATGATCCACATTTTGTGTCAATGTTTGAATACCAACATTTGTGCACAGGGTTGCAGTAACTCACTGGTATCTCCAATCAGACTTTAGTTTCATGTTCTTCCATCATTAATTTTTCTTCATTGTGATACTTGTTAGCATCTTTAATTTTCCTAATTTCTTTGGCTGTGTACAGCACAGTACTTGTTTTGGTAGTGAAGAAAACAAAGGAATCTGCAAGTGTGATGCAAATTCTGTTGTAGTTCCTATCCTGGGAAAGAAATAAGTAAATATCAGAAAGGTGTTAGCCTGTATGGTTGTGGCACAATATGCAAGAGTTCCTTGATGGTATTCAGGATGCCAGCACAAGCTCAGAAAAACGTACAATCTTGTTATTATGGTAGATTTAATGGAGTCTGAGAGCATCATCCAACATAAATTGGCAGTAGTGATAAGATGAGAGGAAGACAAAGATAAGTAGATTTAATCATTTACATGTACCAATGTTAGTGACCTAGATTTAAGAGTTGTGTTGATTTCAAACTGGTTCACTTAATTTTCATAGCATGTATTCTCATATTGTATATTTTAAGTAAATTTTTATGATTGAATAATACACATTTGTCCAACTTGAAAAAAAGTGTATTCTTGGTAGTTATTTGATCCCAATTTCCGATACCCAACTTTGGTTTGATTAAGTATTTGTAGAGTTTAGCCACATTTATTCGTGTTATGAAAATTTATTTCTTTAATAATTCGAACGGTAAATTTTTTCCAACCTTTGAAATTTTATTAAAACATTTAACACACAACACAGTATTTATTGATATAATGTTTGAAACATTTTCCCCATTTGGCTATACAGTACTTAAATAGTGCTCATAGTATCATCGATTTATTTGGGTAAAACTGTGGTTGTGAACAACTGTATATGAGTTGTGTATATTTTAACTACTGATCTTGAATGGCATTATAGTGCTGAATGTATCCTTAATCCTTGAAAAGAAACTGGTGCTAAAGAGACAGGTATCGGAGCCTTTTTGACACTTTTAATGCGGTATGTGCATTTTGCTTCTGGTCTTGGTGCTTTTTTTTAATTTAACAGTGTTACATTTATATATCTCATTCAACCCATCATATTATTCAGGGGTGAGCTTTATCGAGAAAGAAATCCTTGGCATTCATCTTGCGGGAAGCAGCACTACTAGCTATGCCACACCTTGAGGTTGAACAAGGGTCTATTTTGAGATAGTGAAGATACTGTAACACCCTTAAACTGTCAATTAATACCAATTAACAAGCTATTGAAATATGGGGTGTGTTACTTGGTGCCAGATCATTGGATTGATTTAAGTAACGTGAATCAAAACAGGATAAACTGAATATTTTTAAAGACCATTGTGCTTTGAATGGTTACCAATATTGGTTTTTCATTTGATGATGTAGATAAACAGAATTTCCTAAAAGTTCCTGTTTGAAAGTCATGCATCATCAATACTGTACTGTTTATCATGTGCTACAAGGAATCTTACTTTTGTATGATGTTATATAATTTAATGTTTCATGTTTGCTTCATGTGCTTTATATAAAAAAAAAAATAGGCAAACTTTTTGAGTTTAAAGAGAAATTTTATACTTTCTTTGCTAAATAAATAATTTCTGCTGTTTGATGGAATTTTTGGTATTACAAATTAACATATCTGAGATCACTAGTTGCAGGAAATACAGTAAGGAACATGTATTTTTAATTTATTGAATGATCACTACACACAATAAGGAACATGTATTTTTAATTTATTGAATGATCACTACAAACAATAAGGAACATGTATTTTTAATTTATTGAATGATCACTACACAAGCTTGCATATACTATTGTTTTGATTGACCAATGACCTAAGAAATATTTTTTATTTATCTGTTTGCTTACATCATGAATTGGTGTTTTTAAACATGCTGCAAATTAGAAAAAGAATAATGTGATGGCTTATATGATAATTAATTCTCATGGTACTAGTGTTAAGTGTTACAGGTACTAGTAGGCCTACATGTGTAGAAAATAAACTGATGTACTATGATGTATCAAATGCTGTGATTTGTCAGTTGAGCTTCTGCTCTGTTGTTAAATGTATAACTTTCCACCTTTGTATCAAAACACAGGCACATAATGTAAGACTGCTCGTCTTATTTAACCCTTCCAGTTGGTATCTAAGAGTAAAAAGTATAATTTAAAGAATAACGGGTGATTTAATACGTAATAAAAATAAGCAACACTGAATGTGACCAAAATGGGGTGATACTCGGTATATAACACATGTATTTTTCAGATTTACAGTCTGATATATGCTTCAGCTAGCTGTATTGTACTAAAATATTTGATCCAATCCACCAACTAAGCATTTGCATTAGAATGGGAGCTTACCAAACTTTACCCATAAAAGTCTGTAAAATGTACTGTACTGTATATGAATGTAGACTGGAGAAAAGTCATTAAGACTAAAAGAAATATGACATGTATGTACTGTACTGTATAGCCCAAACATTGACACGTAATCGATACAACCTTTAAAATGATCTCCAACATGTAATAGAATAATTTGTATGATGTACTGAAAAAATCGGTTTACGGTGCTATGTCCATCACAAAAAACAACTAAAGCTGTCATAGAAACTTCTCTTCTGGCTTAAAGTGTGGTGTGAGACTAAAGCTTTTAGACTTAATTCCCACCAGTGTGCTGGCCTTATATGGAGACTCTTGTATTCCTTATTTTGCCTCCTGGGAATCTAGTCTACTCGGGAAGCTGGGGCTCAACGGGGCAGCACAATTCTTTGATGGGGAATCTGCTAGAGTCGTCTAGACTAGCTGAACTAGGGGCATTGAGGGGTTAGCACCCCATTTGCTCCCTAGTGGGCCAGCAGACTCCTCGATGGTGACCTGCGTATACAGTACAGGATATCCTAGCGATACTTGTTCTACATCTGCATTCTTCCCTCATTGGGCTCTGTGATGCTACAGTGAAGTACTGTACATGTACCATATTGCTATTTAATGCATATCTTCCCCCTTAGTCTTCCTCCTATCACAGTAACAAGAAGTGGGAAATATATGGCCACGTTATGTATTGGCCTTGCATGATTAATTCATGGACACTTTGGAACAGAGGCCTGCACCTTTTTATCAAAGATTATTATTTAATTGTCGAAACTTCACTGTCCTGCTAATGGTCTCTCACCTCATAGAATGTCCAGATTTTCAGGATGATTGAAAATCCATCTTAACTTCAAGTCATTTATCCCTCCGTGAACTGATTCAAGTTCAAGTATGTTTATTGAGAAAAGGAAGAAATACATCTCAAAAGGATAGAGTAGCTTAGACTTTCTCCCCCCCCTTCCCCCGTGAACTGATACCTTTGATATAACTCATGTTTTTTGTACTCTCATATTAGCATCCTGATTGATTTCCGGGAGGGTTCCTACAGTGGCCCCTTTGTGCTTGCTCCAAGGAAAGCTCTACCCAATTCAATCCATGCCGAAATATTATGAGCTTACGGAAACCAGAGGCCAAAATCTTGGCTCCCTCTAAAGACGACCAAGAAGGGAATCCTAGATTACCCTAACCAAGAAAAGAACACCAGAAAGTTGGGCCAAACCAAAACATACATACAGCAGCAATGTAAAGAAAATATAGAAAACGAGACAGCAAAGCCCCGAGACAAACAAATTATCTAGTCACGAAGCGGTTCTTTCCTTAGTTCCACCTAACGAAAGCTGCCGTGTGTAAGTGAGGGTGTGATACACAATCTTAGCGTTTTTTATTGGATTGTGAATGTACATTGATGATTAAGTGGCACGTTCTTGCAAATCCATTAATACACATAGTTTGGTTCTTAAACTAACCAGTAAATGTAATGATAGGTATATTGTAATAGAATTTGAAAGCAACGTAATAGCTAAGTTATAAATGGATAAAATAAATTACAGTATACTGATGAAGTTGCATTTCTTTAGTAACAAACTGAGTTAATGTAGCAGCTATGGCCCCAACTCTACTTGCGCTTCACCATCGATTTGGCTTGAGTTCTTATCCTGGCCGAGAAGGATTGATTAGGCACCAATTTTTACCTGCACGCCCCTGTTCACCCAGCATTGAATGGGTACTAAACATAGGGGAAAGTTTTACCCTGGGTAAAAAAACTTGAGTTAAAATATCTTTGTGAGTAAAATAACGTTGTAAAGTTAACAATGCACACTTTACTTGTTGAATTAAAAGGACTTGAAAAATTAACAGAGAGTACTTCTAACAATGGGGACTTACATTTTTGAAAGTGCTACCTTGGGTAAATTAACAAAGTAGTACAATAACTTTATATGAAGTTAAAGTTATTGAGTGGTAAGGGGAAGGAGGTGTCCGGCGGAGCCCCCCCCCTAAAAGCTATACTTATTTCTGGTACTCACCTAGTTGTGTTTGCGGGGGTTGAGCTCTGGCTCTTTGGCCCCGCCTCTCAACTGTCAATCAACTGGTGTACAGATTGCTGAGCCTACTGGGTTCTGTCATATCTACACTTGAAACTGTGTATGGAGTCAGCCTCCACCACATCACTGCCTAATGCATTCCATTCGTTAACTACTCTGACACTGAAAAAGTTCCTTCTAACGTCCCTGTGGCTCATGTGGGTACTCAGTTTCCACCTGTGTCCTCTTGTTCGCGTACCACCAGTGTTGAATAGTTTATCCTTGTTTACCCGGTCGATTCCCCTGAGGATTTTGTAGGTTGTGATCATGTCTCCCCTTACTCTTCTGTCCTCCAGGGTCGCAAGGTGCATTTCCCGCAGCCTTTCTTCGTAACTCATGCCTCTTAGTTCTGGGACTAGTCTAGTGGCATACCTTTGGACTTTTTCCAACTTCGTCTTGTGCTTGTACAAGGTACGGGCTCCATGCTGGGGCCGCATACTCCAGGATTGGTCTTACATATGTGGTGTACAAGATTCTGAATGATTCCTTACACAGGTTCCTGAACGCTGTTCTGATGTTAGCCAGCCTCGCATATGCCGCAGACGTTAATCTTTTTATGTGGGCTTCAGAAGACAGGTTTGGTGTGATATCAACTCCTAGATCTTTCTCTCTGTCCGTTTCATTAAGTACTTCATCTCCTATTCTGTATCCTGTGTCTGGCCTCCTGTTTCCACTGCCTAGTTTCATTACTTTGCATTTACTCGGGTTGAACTTCAACAGCCATTTGTTGGACTATTCGCTCAGTCTGTCGAGGTCATCTTGTAGCCTCCTACTATCAACCTCTGTTTCAATCCGCCTCATAATTTTTGCATCATCAGCAAACATTGAGAGAAACGATTCTATACCCTCTGGGAGATCATTTACATATACCAGAAACAGTATAGGTCCAAGGACTGACCCCTGCGGGACTCCACTTGTGACGTCTCGCCAATCTGAGACCTCACCCCTCACACTGACTCGTTGTCTCCTGTTGCTTAGGTACTCCTTGTGATGTGATATTGGTGTAATACTCATATGGGTTCTATTATACATGTATCTAGGGAGAATTTAAAATCAGGATTAGACTTTAGGAATAAGGTTTTGTGAAGGTAAATAGCACATGAGAAAGTGACCAGTGAGTGCATGTTAAGGGATTTGAACAAAGCCACGAACAACCCCATCCGCACCCATAAGCAGCTCCGCCCCCCACACCACGACCAGCTCTACCCACACCCACTCCCAGCCACGACCAGCTCCTCGTCCCACCCACCCAGATAACAGCTAGGAGTCGCTACAGGCAAAAAGTTGTGGGCAGCAGCCAGTGTGAGTCGCACCTTGACGCGGCGCACCACACGCACGCACCGAGGTCCATCTGTAGGCTGGTCCCACACATGGGCTCCGCTACCCCCACACAGGTCAGTTAACGCCTATCACTACGTCCCTGCCTTGCTGCTACCTAATTTATGGTTAATTCCCTTCGTCCGGGACAGGAACACTGTATATATATATGTATTTTAGGCTTTTATCGATGTCCTCCCCCAACCCCACTCTATCAAGGTCAAACCTGACCTTCCCCAAAACGCAACCCCACAACAGTTGTCTAACTTCCGGGTACCTATTTAGGTGAACAGATGTATTAGGTAAAGGGAAACGTGATAGTATAACTGATGCTCATAAAGTATAACAGAACATTTGTTTATAGTCAAAGAACTGCGCACTTTTGTCGAGTTCTTCACATCGATAAAACTACAGCACATCATTACTCTAATAATAATAATTAAGTTATTGATTATACTAATAATAATAATTATAAAAATTTAGGATGATGTATCTTTTTAGGCGTAACGTAATTAGACAGAGATTTTATGTAAATACAGTAGACCACAAATAAGTGAGTTACATCGACTTTGGTGGGTCATATCTACCCGCCAAAGTGAGAGAGGCTGGTACATAATCTACCCGCCAAAGTGAGAGAGGCTGGTACATATCTACCAGCCAAAGTGAGAGAGGCTGGTACATATCTACCCGCCAAAGTGAAAGGGGCTGGTACATATCTACCCGCCAAAGTGAGCTAGAGGCTGGTACATATCTACCAGCCAAAGTGAGAGAGGCTGGTACATATCTACCCGCCAAAGTGAGAGAGGCTGGTACATTATCTACCCGCCAAAGTGAGAGAGGCTGGTACATATTTACCCGCCAAAGTGAGAGAGGCTGGTACATATCTACCCGCCAAAGTGAGAGAGGCTGGTACATATCTACCCGCCAAAGTGAGAGAGGCTGGTACATATCTACCCGCCAAAGTGAGAGAGGCTGGTACATATTTACCCGCCAAAGTGAGAGAGGCTGGTACATATCTACCCGCCAAAGTGAGAGAGGCTGGTACATATCTACCCGCCAAAGTGAGAGAGGCTGGTACATATCTACCCGCCAAAGTGAGAGAGGCTGGTACATATCTACCCGCCAAAGTGAGAGAGGCTGGTACATATTTACCCGCCAAAGTGAGAGAGGCTGGTACATATCTACCCGCCAAAGTGAGAGAGGCTGGTACATATCTACCCGCCAAAGTGAGAGAGGCTGGTACATATCTACCCGCCAAAGTGAGAGAGGCTGGTACATATCTACCCGCCAAAGTGAGAGAGGCTGGTACATATCTACCCGCCAAAGTGAGAAAGGCTGGTACATATCTACCCGCCAAAGTGAGAGGGGCTGGCACATATCTTCCCACCAAACTGAGAGGTGGGAAGATATCTGTTCGTCCCTCTTTACTCAGCAGCAAGCGGGGGGACCCTTGGTTGTAAACCGATTGACGGGTCGTGTTCTAGTGAAAACTCAGCTTGTCCTCTTAACTTATAGGTCGCGCTTTTTGTTTTGTTTTTTACGTTATGACAACCAACGTTACAAATGCCAATCTGCTATGAAAAATAACGGCTCACAAATATCTACGTTTTCTGTGCATCGGGATCGATAAGAATGGTGGGTTGCTTGGGATCGAACCTTTTTAGTCTCTGCCTAACACGAGCTATGGCAGGAGACGTCTATATAAGCTTGTAACAGGGGTTTAATCTAACAGATAAATTTAAGTAGGTAATTTGTAGCAAAATTGAAAAATGTTAACAGGTACATTGTAAGAAAATTTGAAGAAAATTAGTAGGTACATTATAGTAAAATTGAGGATTATCAACAGGTACATTGTAGCATAATTTGAGGATTATTTCTAGGTACATTGTAGTAAAATTTGCATTCAACATAATAATCATGATATAAGATGATGGCAGTGAATACAACGGTAAAGTTGCATGGCTTAGCCACATATACTGGGGGAGTGGGTAGCACAAGATACAGTGCGAGTTTAAAGCACTAGGTAGGGAACTATGAGGATGAAATTAGGTACTTTTGGTTTTACTTTTGAATAAGGCGTAGGTTGGACAGCTTTTTAATTCGTTAGGGAGTGAGTTCCATAGACTAGGTCTTCTTTATTTGCATAGTGTGTTTACACAGATTTAATTTGACTCTAAGGATATCAAAGAGATATTTATTTCTGGTGTGGTGATTATGGGTTCTATTACATCTGTCAAGGAAGAGTTTCAGATCAGGATTTGCATCTAGGAACAAGGTTTTGTACATGTAAATGTCACAAGAGAATGTGTGGAGTGAGTTTATGTTTAGCATGTTTAGGGATTTAAACATGGGGGGGCTGAGTGTTGTCTGAAAACAGAGTTTGTTATTGTTCTGATAGCAGATTTTTGCTGGGTGATGATAAGCTTGAGGTAGTTTGCAGTGGTTGAACCCCATGCACAGATACCGTATGTAAGATAGGGATAGATTAGCGCGTAGTATAATGAGAGGAGAGCAGAGTTTTGAACATAATATCTGATTTTAGAAAGTATACCGACCGTTTTTGAGACTTTTTTGTTATGTGTTGTATGTGGGTGCTGAAGTTGAGTCTCTTGTCTATGTATAGGCCAAGGAACTTTCCATCATTTTTATTGCTGATGTTAACATTGTCTATCTGAAGCTGAATTGCATTTGTTGATTTGCTTCCAAATAAAATGTAGTAGGTCTTTTCTATGTTTAGTGTGAGTTTGTTGGTTGACATCCATGAGTGGATTTTTTTAATTCGTTATTTACAACATTATTTAGTGTGTGTGGGTTGGGATCTGAGTAAATGAGGGTAGTATCGTCAGCAAATAATATAGGTTTAAGAATATTAGACACTAGGCAGATCATTGATGTATATATATATATATAAATAGGAGAGGTCCTAGGATGCTGCCCTGTGGCACTCTTACGGTTAATGGTAGAGTGGGGGAGGTTATATCATTGATATTGGTGTCTGTCACTAAGATAGGATCGAATATAGTTCAGGGCAAGGCCTCGAATTCCATAATGGTGAAATTTAAAGAAGAGGTAGTTATGGTTAACAGTATCAAAGCCCTTTCTCAGGTCAATGAAGAGTCCAATTGGGAATTCATTTTTGGCAAAGGCTGTGTAGATTATATCAGATTAATAATTGCATTGTTGGTACTCTTTTTGAGAACGGTAGCCAAACTGACAGGGACTTAGTATGTTGAATTTTACGAGGTAGGAGAAGACCTGTTTATAAATAATGTTTTCAAATATTGTTGATAATATAGGTAGATTTGATATTGGTCTGTTATTGTTTATGTCTGCTGTATCGTCTCTTTTACGAAATGGTGTTATTAGTGCTTTGTTAAGGATATCGGGGAAGTATGACACTTTAGAGATTTGTTGAATAGCAAAGCTATGGGGTGGTGCAAGGGCATGGCAGGCACTCTTGTATACCATAGATGGTATTTCACTAATGTTCCCAGCTTTGGTTTTTAGTGAGTGAATGATGGACATAACATCTGTCGGGCTGACTGGTAAAAGGAGAAGAGAGTTTGGATTGCTGCCTGCAAGATATGTAGTAACATGTGTCTGGGTCTGTGGGATTTTTCTGGCAAGGTTAGCACCAACTGATGAAAAGAAGCTATTAAATTCAGTTGCCGTTTCTAAATCTGTTGCAGGTGTATAACCATCCCTGGGAGTTTTATCTGCTTGTTATGTGATTGATGTTTAGATCCTAGGATGTTAGAGATGGCTTTCAATGTGCTTTTCATGTTTCCTTTTGCTTCTTTGAATCTACTCTCATAATAGGAAAGTTTCGCTCTTCTTATTATACTGGTAAGCATTGAGGAGTACCTCTTAACTACTTCTTTTGTAACTAGGCCAATCCTAAGTTGTTTTTTTCATATTCATGTTTCTTGTTGATTGTTTTGAGTGTGCCACTTGTGAGCCAAATCTTTAAGGGGTTTAATTAAACCCCCTTGATTAAAACCAAAGGGTTTAATCTTTTGGCAGTTACTTGCTTGGTGAGGAAAGGACAGTGCGTGTTGTAGAGGCTTAGAGTTTTGGAAAGGAAGATGTTGGGTAATTAATTTATGTCCTGTGTATTATTGAATTTAGATTCCCAGTTTGTATTGTGAAGTACATTTGTGAGATTGCCTATTGGTGCTTCGCTGTGTAGCCTGAAGGTAAGTTTCTTGGTATCTGGTGGTGTTATTCTATGTTTGCTATGAGGAAGGTAGGATAGTGGTCAGTTGTTCTGTCAGTGATTATACCAGATGCAAGGGGAGCTGTTATGTTAGTCCATAAGTGATCCAAGGTAGTAGCGGATGTTTGAGTGATTCGGGTGGGCTTGGTGATTGTGGGGATTAGCATACAGGAGTTCATGCTGTTTAGGAAATAATCGACTTGAGGGCTATTTTGTTGACAGATCAATATTGAAGTCACCTCCTAGAATGATATGTTTTTTGTTGAGCTTGTTGTTTATGATAAGATTCCTTAGGTTATCTGAGAATGCAGTTATATTAGTATTGGGAAATCTATAGATACTCCAATGGTCAAGAAGGATTTAAGGGATTTAATCGAGAATTGAGCAAAGGTTTATTCACAGTAGTCGTCTCTATCACTAATGACACTATTGCAAATGAAGATATTTTGGTAATATATAGTTGTGCCACCTCCTTTTTTACTTGTGCTACAGTTGTGAATGGTTGTATAATCGTCTAAGTTATAAACATGTCTTTACTTAGCCATGTTTCTGTTAAAATAATGAACGATAGTTTAGGACCTAGTGCTGTGAGTAGTGCATTTATATCATCAAAATTTTTACCAAGTGATCTGACATTTTGGTTGAAAACTGATAAGCAAGTGTTATTATGAAGTTTACTTTTTTGCAGGTTTGCTGTGTAATACCTGCAGTAGTGATGATCAATATGCTGGTTATTGTAATTTTGTGACAGAAGGTTTAGTTCAGGGTCAATATCACCTTGCATGTAAATATAATGGAGTCAAGATACAATAAAGAAAGCGATTACATAACAGTAAAATATTAAAACTACTGCCTTGTGGT